CCGTGAAGCGGTAATGCGTTTCGATTTGAAGGCTGGGGCAGCCGTTGTAACTATACTTGAGACCTTAGCACTTATATCTCAAGGTGGGTGGATTATTTACGTTGTAAACAGTAACCACTTAACACCAGGTGGGCCGTGAGCTCGTCCACCTATCTAAGCAATAATAAGAATAATAATAACAGTAATCGCACGTTTTAAACAGCCACATTGTCATTGTCTTTGAAAGTTTTGACAGGTAGTTTGGTCACCCTACATAGGTCCACGCCCGTTTGCCCGTGCATATGAATTCGTGTTTGGTGTACTCTGTTGCGAGTACTCAAAAATTATATTTGATGCCGTCAGCACAAAAGTGGCCTAAGCTTACCATAGTTATTATGGAGCAATGAGGTTTAACTTTTCAAGAATTTGAATTTGAGTAGACAAAAAAACAATAATGTTTACAAAGCCATCTGTTATCTATGAGTGAAACTATGGATAGGTTTTAGGTTTTGCATCAAAAATTTTTATATTTTAAATAACCTGCAATATACATATAAGCATGATTATGAAAAATTGTGGGCTAGGCCACTTTTGCGCTGACGGCCTCATTTAATTTAAAACTCTGTACCTGATACTTGAAGATATTTAATACGCATAAATATATAGGTATAGCAAAATATTCATTACACGATATTTACAGTCAGCACAGAGACAAAAAACAAGGCTTAAAACAGGGCTTAAGTTGATGGCGATGCTCGACTTCTGCGAGTCCACCATCTCGCAGAAGGAGGCGGCGGAGCAAGAGAGGGAGAGCTCTTCCCTTTCCGCACCGATCCGTCGCCGTCGAGCCGGGGGCCGGAGGCGGGAATACGCACGTACGTCCCGGCCCCTGTAGGTAGCGGCCTTCCCCCGGTGAAGGTCAAGGGGCGACCTGAGGGGGTGAGGCCGCGCGGCGCGCTACCAGCACTCTAGCGCGCTGCCGTGGAGTGAATAGAGCGACTGGTCGAAAGTGTACCGCGTCCCGACCCGGCAGGCTGGTTCTGGTCCAGCGGGGTATTCCGGGACACCGGCGGCACCGTCTGGGCGGCCCGACGGGCTGCCGTACCGAGACGGCCGACGTTTCAGAGCCTTCGATTCGCCTCGAAGGCTCCGTCGGCCGGGCGTCCTTGGGGTGAGCCGCGCCGTCTGGTTGTAGTGTTGACCGCGGTAACCCCCCTACCTCATCCGGGTTCTGACCTCGGAGGGGATCGGACGTCGGGTGTAAGAGTGCAGGGGAGTCGTTTAGTGGGTGGTCCCTAAAATCCTTGGGCCCGCGGTCTGCTCACAACACCATGCAGATCGTTGAGTCTCACATACCCCGCGCGCCCCTTTTGCGTGGGGACCTCGTAGGAGGTTCGGCCCTCTACCCGAGAAAAAAAAAAAGGCTTATGTTGATGCAATTCTTGTACAATACCATAAGACATATTATCATAATTGCGTATAAATAAGTACATCAGTAGTGTTAGTATAAAAAAATGTAACTTTAGTTTGTACCAACTAAAATTATTTATCATTAATTTATTTTTGCTACAAGATCCGTAGACAATCAGTCTAGTGGCAAACAGAGTCATCATGACCCAACTTCATTGCCCTTACCAACCATGAGACAGAAGTTTGAAGTCTCAATTGAATTGCTTAAATGCTATTCGACCATTGAAACCTGAACGCTTCAAAAACAGCATGGCGGTACTTACGTGCCGGGACGCAGTAAGGCCTATCACAAACTAAAATAAAATGGTTAAATCATTACGAATACCTACTGACAGAACTCAACCCTGAACCTCCCCTGATCAACTCGAAACCCTCTGTCAACAACCGCTGCTAATTTGTTTGATGTGGCGTAGCTGACGTAGCATCCGATATTAATGGCAAAAATTAATTGGTCATATACAAACAATTGCATTGCAAACATCGGTAAATTGGCAATTAACAGGCGTTTAACGTGCCGAATTTTGGACGGGACTTACTAGACATCCTGTTATCAGATGATTGGGAGAAAAAATAAAAAAATTAGTCAAGATATCTAATAGGATATTAGTCTGAAGGGCTCGTAATCAAAAGGCACGATGTATACGATCTCAGGCTGGGTATGTATTTCCACCACAAAGCAATGACCTATCTCATACTTCGAGGCTACTTGCTATTTAGTTTGTGATATCTATAAGCTCTGGTAGCCACGTAGTACCAGCTCGGCGATGAGCTCAACCTATCAAGTGTAACAAACACAATAACCTGATCTATTGCCTACTAGTTAAACCTTAATTTGGCTTTGACCTAATCGTTACCAAACTTCACAGGATTACCCGTAAGACTAATCTGAAGATTTACTCTGAAGAATATCGACACATCAATTTTTAAATTTTTTTTTTTTTATTGCCCTTGTAGGCAGACGAGCATACGGCCCACCTGATGGTGAGTGGTTACCGTCGTCCATGGACTTCAGCAATGCCAGGGGCAGAACCAAGCCGCTGCCTACAAATACTTCAATTACTATCATTTCCTTATTATTGCCGCACATTAGAAGTAAACTTAATAAAAATTCCAAAAGTGCTCACTTTTCTCCCTGACTACAATCAGTATTGGTCGTAAGATGCATTGAGCCAAAACTGGTGTTTCCCAGATCTTACTGCCTATCTGCTACTGCTATGTACTATATAAAACTTAAATTCAGTTCCGCTAAGACATAACTCAAAATCTCAAAGCCAACCCAATACCAATGAACAAATACAAAATATGAAATGTAACAATAACATTTGTCGACACATAAAGCTAAGTACGCACGCAGGAAAACAGTAATAACGCACAGGCGTCTTACCGTAATTTCCTGGGTCGGACCCATCCGAGACCCGTATCGTACATAATGTGTTACTGCCTAAATAAACTACACTGATACGAACGTGACAGCCAAACTGGATAGAGGCCGACTACTTTATTATAATATTAAGTAGATGTTTTGCTAAGGCGATAGTGAAATGCTTTTGCTGTTCCCTGCGCGATCTTTATTTACTGCGTATCATGGAATCAATATCGTACCGTTCTAGTCACCACGAATTTGATAATTAATACTGTGATTTATTTACTGATGGTAGGACCTCTTGTGAGTTTGCGCGGGTATGTACCACCGCCCTGCATATTTCTGCAGTGAAGAAGTAATGCGTTTCGGTCTGAAGGGTAGGGCAGCCGCTGTAACTATACTCAGATCTTAAAACTTATATCTCAAGATGGGTAGCGCATTTACGTTGTAGATATCTATGGGCTCCAGTAACCACTTAAGACTAGGTAGGCTGTGAGCTCGTCCATCCATATAAGCAATAAAAAATAAAAATAAATTGGAATTCCTTACAATATATTAATAGTTTAGTCTTTTACTCGCTACATACATATATTTCTAGAACTATCTGTTAATATTTACAAAGGTAAATTTAATGAAACTTGTGTGTACGCTGAAAATTGGTATTTAATATAATCTATACTAATGTTATAAAGCTGAAGAGTTTGTTTGTTTGAACGCGTTAATCTCAGGAACTACTGGTCCGATTTTAAAAAATATGAAAGTCGACAAAAGAAAGAGTTTTTTCGGCGGATCCCCATTCCACGTTTAATGTGGATTTCAGCAATGTCAGGGGCCTACACAGTAACCTTGACGCCGTACATCACCACCTTGAGACGGCGCAGCCTGCCCTCTTTTTCCTGACTGAGACGCAGATATCTGCCCCGGACGATACGTCGTACCTCGGATACCCCGGCTACGCATTGGAGCACACCTTCCTGCGNAGAGATTGGAAAAAAGTTAGTTAATTAACAATGGTGTAAATTTTTGAAAAATCGATGTAAAATTTTTTTTTCACCTAGGTTTTTTTCGTTCAAGTGTTTAGATTACACCATAATTTATTCAAATTTTTAAATTGTTATTTAATACTATAAAAAAAATATTTTAGGTGATATACCGGCTTTTTAGACGGCGCGCCTATGCCCGTAGCGACCTCGCGGAGCGCTATTTTCAGCGTTAATTTTTTTTTATAAATAATAGAGATAGAATTCCGGGAGTTGGGACTTTTTTATTGGAAATTTCCTCCTCTTTCAGGATGTTTTTTCAAAGTTCCTTAAATATCATTATTTTAGAAATTATTAAGGAAAAACCAAATTCCTTTTTTTAAAAATCTTATTTTGTTTATAACAATCGCAATTTTTTATGTGCTAATAAGCCCTTAAAAAACATTTTTGTAGACATCATTCCGCATCCAATGAGCTATCGTACATATTTTTAGGAGCTTTATGTCTATTTAACACGTTTTTGAACTTGTTGACTAGACTACAAATCCGCAAGTGTAGGACGACATTTGCGAATGATTATGCAAAGTTTTCGCTGCATTCGTGGTTTTCCAAGCTGTGTCGGTTTTTTAACAGACATCAAAGCGCGCGAACCTCGAACCTTCGCGTAGTCTCCCACACATTCGCTTGCCCAGTCCCAGTTGCGCCGACGATTGCGAAGGTAACGGACGTATCGCCATTTTTATAGTTCGTGACGTCTACTGTGTAGCGTATCTTCATCAAAAGAAATCCCATAAAAAGAGCATGGCTGTTAATGATGTCTGGGAAAGAATTCAAAACTCTTTCTTTTCAACGTTCTATTGACGAATTAAAAAGGAGGAGAAATTCGTGAGACTTCGTAAACAAGTGTAGGAGGAAGCGCAAACGGGTTCGCAAATTGAGTATGCGAACCCGTTTGCACAGCCGCTAGGTTTGCGAATGAATGTTTCACGGCCCTTCACATGCGCGCAAACATTCGTACAATGTACGATAATTTGCGCGCATGTCAGTGGCCGGCATTACGCTTGCTGCCATAATGCACCATTACTTATTTAAAAAAATCTCGTAATGCACTTAAATAATATTTATGATGCTTGCCATAGATTATACACTTAATATTTGATGCTTGCATTGCATTGCAGCTCTCAAGTATAATAAGTGTATAATCTATGATTGCAGCACTTGTTAATTGGCACTTACTTGTATAGGATGGCGGCTAAAAAAAATGGTTTTGTTGATATCGGTGATGGTGATTCACTAAAGACTACTAAAAAATCATACGAGCAAGACGAAAAATTAATTAATGGTAAAATAAAAGATCGCAAAAATGGTTACATGAAGTCCACGCAGTCTAATGGATCAACGGTAAGGAGGTTTTGCATTTATTTTCTAACCTAAATTGAATTGATGATTAAAAAATTAGAACAGTATGTATTTAACGGCACCGCCTTGTAGTTGGATAGGTTGCAAAGGTACCGCTGGCAGAATTTTTTTAATTCTTCATTTAGCTTTCTGGGACAGGCCTGCTTCTATGCTGCCTGATTTGACCTTCTGCAAATTGGAAGGTGCAATAATGGGCTTAATGTCGCATTTATTATATTTATAAATAATCATGACAATACGAAGTCATATATTTCCGGACAATTGAGGCGTCAGGTCAGATATCCTTGTTTGGAACTGTCTAGATTAAAAATATATAAGTGTTGATTGATTGTGTTAGTAATAAGTGTAACCCTTTTTATTAAGTTGTTTAATTATTATTTAAATAATACTCTAGAGGTTGAGGGTTTTAGGGAAAAGAAGTAAACACAATGATATCATTTTGAAAAAAGTCAATTTAAGTTTTTCTGATGTTAACATACTATGATTTGTCCATAAAAAAACAAGGATCATTAATAAAAAAAATTGATACATGTGTATTGTGACTAAAAAATTTATTAGTTTTGCATTTATTTCTCATATATTATGTATGGATTAATCCATACTAATACTATAAATGCAAAAGTAATTCTATTACGCTTTCACGCCAAAACTACTGAACGATTTCAATGAAATTTGTTACACAGCCTGAATATATCTTACTTTTTAATGCAAAAAATGGGTTGTAAAGGGTTGAAAGGGGGTGTAGGCATACGACAAAGGAAAGATTTCCACAGAGCAGATGATGTTAGTCAGCAGACTGATTGTCTGAATGTTGTTGTTCGGAACTAAGAAAGAAGTGTTGGCTGCTCGTGTTAAACTCTAAAGGGATGTATTAGTCAACAGTGATGTAGGAAGCCAAGGTCATAGACCTGTATCATATTTAATAGCCGGGCAGACTATTGAAATACAAGATTTACCTACTATCTACACAACTTGATATGAAGTAGTCACTTCTATCTGTAAGTTACTGCTATTTTGTTGTAGGTAGTGGTATACTCAAACTTTTTTTAAAGAAAGCCTTATTCAAATTAATATTGGAAGAATTTTGTATCCCTACCCAATATATCTCAACAAATATTGTCTTATTGTGGCAGTGGATGTGTTTAATAACTGAAGATATTATTATGGAAAAGTTTAATCTATAAAAAATTGACCTCACTTGACATCATTTATTCACAATAAGGATTAGAGGAAACTTAGCTAAGGTGATTGTTAAATAATAAAATACTAAAAGTTGAAAAATAGTTTTCAATATACTGACTCGGTGGGTCAGTAATAAGCGCCCCTCTGTTGCTCTGAGGGTCGTGGGTTCGATTCTCATATCAAACAAACATTTGTGTGACGAAAAAGTTTGTTTGGTCTTTGCCGGCACATCAATTTCTGCACCAAACGAGTGTTGAGTGAAGCCGAGATAGAAGAGAGTGCAAAGGGTTAATAGAGTAGAATATGTAGACAATTGGGTAACAATTACATTGTAAAACACTATCATTGAAAACAGAAGAACAGTGTTTGATTGTAATTTGATACCTGCTTATTGATGATGTAATTATGCCTTGTGCTGTTTAAAAGTCATTATCGCACCTATTTAGCGTTGCGTTGTGTTCCACAAGCTACTGCAACAATCCAATACTAATTAAATACTGTAGGAAAGAGTCAGCTGATGCAGACGATGAACGGCCTGTTTTAGATAGTACCGCACTAGTTCACCTTCCATGTGATTGCGTTCTATGCCCTATACCAAACGAGGCTTGAGAAGAGTCCTTATAGGCGGCAGCCGTTAGAATTTAAATGAGTAAGTATAGTTAATTTAATCAAACTGGGAAGGACATGGTCTGGTGGCTTCTTCCTATTTATTTCAAGTTATGTCTCTTCACTAATATATTATTATGTGTATACCTAGTGCTCTATCATATTCAATAATACTCGCATACAAAAAAAAATTGAATACAACAAACAGCCACCTCCTTAACTACATGTAACTACAGTGAAGCCAAACTTTTACTGTTTATTGACGAATGCACGATTTGAACTGTAACACTAAGTGCCATAACATACTAGCGGATTGCGAGCCTTCTCAAAGCGGAGTTCGCCACGAACGAATAACAGCGCGGACGCCATTTTGTACCAGCTCTCGTACAGACGCCAGCCCGTCCGCCCGCCTCACTTCACTCCGTTAACGATGTTATTTGAATTTACTGTCAATTTTCAAATATTAAACATTATAAAATTGTAACCGACACAAATTACAAATTATAAAACTACATGACGACATTAACTAAATCTTCAATCTTGCTAAAATATGTTTTCAGCCGAAGATGACACAAGTGGAGGGAGGCGGCCTGCCAAAGATAGACTGGTCCAAGTACGACACGTTCCCGGGCTCGTTCGAGAAGTGTTCCCTACTGACCGCCGTCCTCACGCACGTTGGACTTTACGTTCTCATGTTCCTGGGCTTCGTCAACCAGCTCATATTCAAGCCTAAGGCCGCCACCGAGAAGAACAGAGAGGTTCGTTGATTGTCTAATGTCTCTAATACTATCTCACTAACAAAAACTTTTCCAATAAAATTAGGCATCCATGTAGGCTTTTAAGATTATAACCATCGCTTCAGAAGCTGTTTGATAACTTCCTTGAGACTGTCAACTTCTATCAAGGCAACGGCGGCCCTCTTGTTAATATTTTTATTGTCTCATACAAAAGGCTATCGATAATTACAGCCTATCAACGGGGACATTGTTCAGAAACGAGCGTTTTAATTTCTTTGCCAGACAGAGAGCGAAGTGCCACAGGTGCATTGCAGCACTCGGGATAGCGCTCAATCTCTATGAGCAATTCACAAATCACAGAATTCTTTAGTAAATGTCGTATATTTTTTTCAATATCAGCACGTATAATATTTGACGGAGCGACTATAACCTGGCTGTTTTCAAGAGACTAACGTCACCATCGTCATCACTAAGGCCGGGCGGCCGCTCGTGCTTGGCGAAGTAGAAAAACAAACTTGTGCACCTGTTACAGTTCGCACTAGACGACTACACTAAAACCAAGGCTCGTAAACTGCCTTGAAATGTCGATAAAATATTTTTTTGTGAATAAGCAAAGGTCAAACAAAATTAGGTAAAAATAATGGGAATTAAAGATTAACTTGTCATTGAAAATTGATCTTCTATGTACAGCTGGCCTATTCCCCGAAATAGATTCCAATCAAAGAAAATTAAAAAAGCTCAATGCTCATTGTAAATTTCAGATTAATTAGTACAGTATCATCGTAGAATTTAGGGAAGCTTAAAAAGTCGTCGGTAGGATTCGAAGGCTTGGCTGGAAGGGCACTCGACAAATCCCAGACCCTGTTGTTTCACGGGGCCAGGAGAGCACCGCCTCGGGGTGCCCACTCTGTGATCGGAGGCAACGGTAGTTAGAGTTGGGTCTGTCCTGTGGGGCCGCCGTATCACTGAGGATGGTATCGTTGGTCGTCGACGATTGCCTCGAGAACCTAACGGTCAGGTATCGTCGGGGTGCCGTCACGAGTCTAGTTGTACTGTCAAGTCGCCCATACTCATAAAATCAGCACTGTTCGATGCATACACTTTAAACAGCATTCGCCTTTTTTCTTTTCTTTTATTTATCTACCTGTAATAATCTCTAAATCAGTGTAAAACTTAATAAATTATTATATTATTATTGTAATTATAAATATAAAAATGATCATGGAAATCTTAAAAAAATATGATACTAGAACTTGATACAGCGACTCGTATCAAGTTCTCACTGGATAGACATTACTACTACACTACTCCATAGACATCACGTGAACGCCGCCAGTCACCTTGAGGTCAAAACTCAATTATATTGTACAACAGATGTCTCAATCTTCAGACCCGTGCATTTAATTCAATAAGACTAGTATATTTATCAATCGATGAAGCCAAGGTCGTAACCTGATTCCAATCTGTTCCGCTAACTACTAGATAAATAATTAAAGGTCGAGGAGTACTGGCAGTGTTCCTGATTGCTCGGTTGCGACTGCCTCGATGGTACGCCATCTTGTTCTATCTCCTAGCTTGAGTTCAGATAAAGTAGTTGTCGTAAAGCTCGATTGAATGAGCAGTGTGTGTGTGGTGTAAAAGATCACGGCTCAAGTGGGTAGTGAAGGGCGCGGAGTGTAGAGCGCAATGGTGGCTTCCAGGGGTACGCTCCGCTGTACGATCCGTTCGAGCAGTTCTTCTCTCGGTACGTGTACCGGCGCGTGCGGCACTGCTTCAACCGACCGATATGCTCGGCGCCTGGAGCCGAAGTCGTCCTCAAGGAGTGGGAAAGCACCGATCACAATTGGACTTTCAAGTATGTATTGTGTCATAAAAGAAAGAGTGTATCTAATTTTACAGCACGTTGAGGTCATTGATTTTGGCAAAAAACGTTTCTAAATGATTTATGTCGTTCATGGAAAACATAAAAAAAAAAAATCCCCAAAGTTGTAATTTAGGTACCCGGCGATGTGGCCCCCGACCGGGAACGTCCTCTTTAAGTGTACGCGCGCGCGTGTGTGTTGGGCCGTTGGCTGAACTCATTCTGTGGCATAAAGTAAATACTATGGAGATTGATTTGAACAATTCGCTCAATTATGATGTTAATTAAATATGGTTTCCTTGGTTCAACAAATTGACTAGGTTTTTTTTAATACAATTCGGTTTGAGATAAAAGCCAATTATTATTACCCAATCCCAAACGAGTGAGGTTCTCGCTGAGCTCTGAATAACGATATTCACGTTGCGATGTACTTGGAGGCGGCGGGTCCCGTAGCATCAAGCAGAGCATTCGATTGTCTGTCCATCTGCGCCAATACTTGACCTTGTAATTGTACCTTAATGGGTTTTTTATTGTAGAGTGCACAGAGAGCGTAGAAACTTAGCTTCTTAAATATTAGGTCTTTACCTACGAAATTACGGTTAGTGATTTTGGTTTTTTTTTTAATTCTATTTTATTTCTGTCTATCAAAATATGCATTCATGATATCGATGCATCTCTGCCAGCGCAGTCGTAAATTTTCAATGTTCTTCGTGAAGAAGTCAGGGGTGCGGGAGCCAACAAATTCTTCAAAGGTATTGTGCACTGTCTCTCGGGTACCTACCTATTGAATTTTTTCCCAGCCAAGAAGTTGTCCAAACTTTGGAAATAGTAGAAGTCTGTCGGTGCAACGTCTAGTAAGTACGTTGGATGACGCAGAACTATCATTTGGTAAGCAGCTGTGATGAATTATACCGGATGCACTAGATCACCAAACAATGACCATGACTTTAAGGCGTAAGTTCTCGTTTGAGACATTGCCTAGATGCTGTAACTAGGATTACAATGACCAAAAAGTGTCTACTTTTCAAGCGGCTCAAAACCCCTTCGTTTCTGTATCTGTTAATCAACGCACGGCACACCTTGCCGCGTGCGTCGTGCTGGCGATCGTTCAGTTCGTGCGACTCACACTTATCGAGTTTTGTTATCTCGCCAACTTGACGCAAATGGACCGATATTGATTTGATGCTAACGTTGAAAACTGCAGCTAACTCAGCGGTAGATTGAGTATCGTCAGTTTCTTAATAGACTAGTTTTTAGTTGACCACAAATTTCATTTAAAAAAATTCCATGTCGGAAACGTTCAAACTAAACGAGTCGTGCGTCGTGCGTCATAATGTCTTGAGTCATTTGTGCGGTATTGCTGTAGCGACGGAACTCGTAATCCATAATTACGGGTATTCTTATCGTGTCCATATTGATGATAAAGATACAAATGTAGATAAAACAAAACACTAATCATTATCAAATCACTGAATTTAAAAATAGAATTCCAAATTTTAAATAAACGTTATTTGAATTAAGAATTTATTGCCAACCATACATAAATAGATGATGATCTTCGAAGAGGGGTCGGCAGGTGGTGGATGGGGAGAGCCGGAGACCGGGCTCAATGGTGTGGATCCAGCAGTGAACGACTGGGGGCTGATAATGATTATGATTATGATGATGATGATGATACATAAATTACGTTTAAAATGGCAACTATTGCAAAACGCAACTTCATAGGTAAAGACCTAATATTAGGCTTCTCCTTTGTCTATTATAATATTTTTACTTTATTGACTGAGATGGAAGGTAGAAACAAGTAATGAGCAGTTAGGGCGTGATAGCATAGGATTGTTGACCGCGGGAACTTACTCTGTCCCGATTCTGACTCCGAGTGGAGGTCAGACGGCGGGTGAGACAATACTAGGTACAAGGTACAGATAACAGATTTGGATTTTAGTTCTGGGTCAGTATATCGTAAAGGTGTTTTTATTGTTAATGTTAAATTACGTCCATTTGTCGCTGACCTGTTTTAGAATGAAACTCATTTTTAAAAGATGAAGTTGAAAAAAGATTTTATTAAAATAAACATACGACCTGCTTACAGCTAGCGTAAACAATGAGAAAGCGTATAATAGCGATATGAAAGCGATGATATCGTGTGCCGCCTTAACCTGAGCCTGTCGGTCAGGTTCACGGGCGTGGAGCGGCGCTGCGTCAACCTGGGCTCGTACAACTACCTGGGGTTCGCGGGCGGGGAGGGCGCGGAGGGGGGCTGCGCGCGCGCCGTGGCCGACGCCGTGCGCCGCTACGGCATGGCGCAGGGCTCCTCGCGCGCCGAGCTCGGCACCACGCCGCTGCACCTCGAACTGGAACGGGCCGTGGCTGACTTCTTGGGGGTCGAGGTACGGTAGCGCGGTCCCACTTACCGGAACCCATAAGCCTCAACCGACTAGAGCGACGGGGGAGTGGCGCCGCTGAGCGCGTAATTGATCTACCCGCGTCTCCGTCCGCAGGACGCCATCGTGTTCGGAATGGGGTTCGCCACCAACACGCTGAGCATACCGGGGCTGATCGGGCCGGGCACGCTGGTGCTGAGCGACGAGAACAACCACGCGTCGCTCATCCTGGGCCTGCGCCTGTCCCGCGCCACCGTGCGCGTGTTCCGACACAACGACGTGCGCCACGCCGAGGAGCTGGCCCGCGCCGCGCTGGCCGAGCGCCGCTGGGCCAACGTGCTGCTGGTGAGGGACGCTGCACTGGGCCACAATACGCGTTAGTGGATCGGATGATGTTAGACAGTCAGATGTTATGGACGCCCGCAGGTGGTGGAGGGCGTTTACAGCATGGAGGGCTCTGTGGCGGCACTGGAGGGCCTGGTGGCGTTGAAGCAGGCGCTGGGGCTGCACCTGTACGTGGACGAGGCGCACTCCGTGGGCGCTCTGGGGTCCACGGGCCGCGGCGCGCTGCAGCGGTGCCGCGTGCTCGCCGCGCACGTCGACGTGCTCATGGGCACCTTCACAAAGAGCTTCCGCGCGGCCGGGGGGTACATCGCAGGTCCGAGCCTGCACACATAAACACAACACTAAGACAACACTGTGGCAACACTGACAGCACAGCACAAATAATTTGTCAGTCTAAGGTGTCCGTTAACAAAGCTGCAGCAAAGGACAATGCCCATTTTCTATGGGCGTTTGGGCCCCTAAAAAAAGTTGTCCAATGATGATGGTTTTAACTTAATTTGATAGACAAATAAATATCGTTTCATATTCAGAAAACGATTTTTATATTCTCACCCAGGTTTAAGAGAAATTGTTTTTTTCTGCAGCTAAAATTAAGTTGTTAATTGTTTTCTTCGAAATCAATAATTGCTCTCATCATTATTTACAGTATTAAATAAGTTAATTGTGGTTAATGTTGTTAGAAATAAGCCCTTACGTACATTTTATTATTATTTTATCTTCATAATAATAATAAAATGAAATGAAATCCGGAAGCCGGCAAAGAGCGTAGCCTATACAGCCTAGTCTGTCGTAGTTTTTTTTTTTATGTCAATAAAAAGTCGGTGTATCTCTTTTTATTGCTTTTTGGGAGTTTTGATGTCAACTCGATGAATAGCAATCTTGAAAAAAAAAAAAAACAGTCACTGCTATGTTAGCCACAGTTTTATTCCAATGCCTCAATAATTGTGAACAACGATTATTGACGTTTAGTACACAAAACAACACCCAATGTGTATATTATACATCACAATAAACTATTAAAAAAAACATTAAAATAAAACTTCAAGTGACGCTTCACTCGGGTAGCTGCCAAAACTCTCTGATCATATATAATAAGAATAGAGTAATGGTAGGCCATTGAGATTTTTACTAATGAAATCATTAATATCTAAAAATATTAAATAATTCATAGTTTTAAGTAATAATTATTATAACAATAGATAAATATTGAATTGTAAATTGAACAACAATAAATTAAAAAGTCTGTGAATTATAACCATTACCTATATTTTTTTATTTGTTATTCAAGTCACAGACAACTCTTTCGTTTGGCAGCTTATAGGTTTACTATAAGGCTGTATGGGCTAAGCCCTTTGCCTATTGGCGAATTTAAAAACTGGCATTCAGTTTTGGGATGTTATTAAATAAGTAATTTATTTTTTTGTAAAACAATACCAGGGTGAAAGAAGTGTTGATATATAAACTAAACAACGTGAAAAAATAAGGCATAGTTTTTCAAGTACAAATAGTTTTGACATGAAGTTGGCCCACTTTTGTCCTTTGTTTGAAATGAAATACCACTTGACCATTTGAGCACTCGACGTGTGGTCCCGCAGGCCCGCGGCGGCTGGTGCAGTGGCTGCGCGCGCACGGGCACGCGCACGGCTACGCGCACAGCATGTCGTGCGGCGTGGCGGCGCAGGTGCTGGCGGCCGTGCGCGCGCTGGACGCGGCGCCGGGCCGGGCGCGGGTGCGGGCGCTGGCGCAGAACACGGCCTACTTCCGCCGCAGGTCCCACTCCACACTCCAACTCAATTCTAGTAAAACGAACACAATCGCCATAGTTGTGTTGATGGAAGTACCCGCGACGCGCTCGGGTTCGGGATAAATAAAATTCACCGAAACACAAATTAGAACTCAATTTAATTATTACAACACTTGAAGTACACTTCACAATTCGAAATTTTCTTCTTGACTTCGCCTCGAGTGACTGACTGACTTCATGTCACAACGTTTTTATAATCAACACGACACGTGTACTACTATTGTCAGGAACGTTCCCGAGAGTACTAGTCGTTTCGATATGCTAATTATTGACGGCGGGCGCTGCTCGCACCGGCACAGCGCGCCGCACCTGCTCATTTCGTTACTCGTTTTACCCCCGAATGACATCACACGCAATTCAACTAGGATTAACCGCGTTCTATAAAAATGCCCGTTTTTATGTCAATTGCTGATAAAGTCTTAAATTACAAAAGATCAACTATGAGATTGAGATGGGCCGGTCGGCTGTGCCCGCAGGCTGCGCGAGCTGGGCGTGGTGACGTTCGGGCACGACGACTCGCCGGTGGTGCCCATGCTGGTGTACACGTTCAGCAAGATGGCGGCCACGGTGGAGCGCCTCACGCGCGCCGGCGTCGCCACCGTCGGCGTCGGCTTCCCCGCCACGCCGCTCAACATGGCGCGCATACGGTACGATACCAGCTCGGGACCTTTCCTGAACTATTCTAAGGAACTATCTTACAAATTGAACTTTTTTATTTTATTACCCGGACATAGCGCTCTGGAAACACCGAGAAAAGGAACTATTTCCAAAATGGGATGAAATGTGTGTCTGTCTGTTTCCAGTTTCTGCCTGTCGGCGTCCCACACCCGGGAGCAGCTGGACCGGTGCCTGCTGGCCGTGGAGCAGGTGGCGGACGAGCTGGGCCTGCGCTACTCGCGCCGCCGCCCCCTCGCGGAGCCCCGACCCTCGTAAACCTTCACGCTGCACAGATACAAATAAAAGTTGCATGAAATGCATACTTTAACTGTTATGAAATTCGCGAATCGATCATAGAAAATACTTACTCGAGTTAATTACATACTTGTTTAATTAAAAGTTTCGTGGTGGGTTGGATGTTCTGATGTTCCGCAAAAGGGCGCCGCGTCCCCGCACTGGCCCCGCACTCTGTGTGCACACCATCACTAAAGATGTAATGAAGTACCCATATACTGATGTGATCACTGAAGTGCACCTTTAAAAGCGGAACAATAAGCATTATTATTGCATTTAATTATTTTTATGAAGATAACATTAAGTATCAGTAGTGAGCAGCGGCACGAGTCCGCGAGACGGCGGGCGGGCACTGAACAGAACTTCTAAAATTAAATTGTGTTCAAAGTGCACAAGGACTATATTGGAATGCACTGAATGTAATGGAATGAGCTGCAGCCTCAATTGATTTATGAAAAACTAGTTCATCTTATTATATGATATTATATAAGCTGATGTAGATCAATAAACAATCGAAGACGCTTCACACTGCGTCACCCGCCCACAGACCTGCGCGGTCTGTGCGTGCAAACCGGGCTCACCGACAGTATTGGGGGCCGCCCCCGCCGCCGGCAAACCGGACTGGGACCACCTGTTTCTTCACAAATTGATCAGTCCATGTTCACATCGGGTCCGGTGGACCGGCGCACGAGTCTTCATGAGCGTGTTCGTGTGACTATTTTTATACTCAATAAATTATATTTTGTCACGCTGCATCGTTATTTTTCTTAATATAAGAATAGTGAGTCGTCGATTCAATGCACACAATTCGTGACACAAAATTAACAGAATGAAGTTGCCCACTAAATCGCTCATTACAATACGACCGACGTAACTTGGCGAGTCTGAATATAGCCGCAGGTGAACTTTCCGAACCCTTTTTTTTGTCCTACCTATGCTGATAGCCTTGAGAGGCTATTTCAACTTCACACTAACGTTTGTATGTGAGCTCACGGGGCTCAACCGGAGAGTTGCTAACACTGACCCTAGCAAGAGCAGTGCTTCGCAGAATCTACCACCGGATGGAAACGCGACCCACTGAGAAGATCCGGCGAGAAACTCATTGGGCTGTGTCTGTGGGTTAGTTCGCATGACGTCGAGCCCTTCGTCGCAAGCGACGGGTTCGACGAGGACGGTGACCGGCCGAACCGTACCGAGAATTACCGAATTTATACGATTTCAAGAAAAGGGATGTCCAATATGCGTGTTTGAGGATGTTGTTCAATTGATTTTTTTTCAAATTGATTAAAGTTTAAATAAAAAAAAAAGAAATTTAATAAAACTTCTTACGCGCGTACATAAGTACACGGACCGTTTTTTGTTATATGGTGAGCGAAATCACGACCCAGCTGACGTCAAGTGGTTACGGGAGTCCATGGACAATCAAACATCAATGTCGACACGAGGTTGAAGTAGTATGTCTGCAGCGCGGCAAACTGAACAGAAGGGCGGTACCCACACGCAGGGCACACCCGCTGACCGACACCCATCACACACTATGACAAACCGATTTAGATTCAATCTGTACATGACGAATGACCGATGCCCTGACTATTTCGAAAAGGCACGATGTCAGGCATGCTGATGTCACTACCTTCATTCATAACGGTGGTGGCTCATGCGTAGTGAAGTAGTAGGAACACAAACATGTGTACCTGTAGCCGTTTATTTCCCTTTATAATATTCAAGAGGTCCGACCTGTTCGGCGGTTTGTACTCGACCACGGTCCTCCTGCGTTGTTGGCAGGAGTGATGTTTATGCTGGTAGAATGATGAACAACGAGTGGTAGTGGTGAATGATGGTGGGGATGAGGCTTTGAGACGTTTGATAATGACGATCAAACACAAAGTAAACTAGAATAACACTGAGTAAGCCAATATTAATCAACACAGAGTCAGAGGTGTGACAGCAACCTCCTTTAATATTTCCATGCTGGAGCTCTCACCCATACAGGAACTGTACAGACCACAGGAGCGATGGGAGAGGGCTGCAGCGTGCGCTCAAGCCCTCTTCAGTGGAGGTATTTACACCGATCCGGACCCAAGAGAGCACGGAGCGGAAGGGTCCCTCCCCTGACGGTTCCACTATCGCCTCCAGACGGGGTGGCGCGGTTCTCTGCCTCTCGAAATGTGAGGAGAGGGTGAAACCCAGTCCCAAGACGGGCTCATAGATCCTTTTTAACTCCGAAAGATGAAGAAGTTCTCGGGGAAACGTCTTACCATCGGGTGTTTTGGCGTGTAACGGACAATGTTGTGGAGATGCTTATGGGGACCGTTTTCGGCTCGTACATGTTGCAGGCGAGTCTACCGACGAACTCCACACCCAAGTCGCGGGCGATAACGTCGTTCCTGATGTACCGCCTTGCCCCGATAATAGTACGGAGGGAACGATTTTCCTGGGCCTGTAACCTCGCCCACTGGGACGGCGACAAGGCTATTGGTGGTAGGACGTCTGGTGAGTTCGCATGGGTAGGTTCCACCATCCTGCCTATTTCTGCCGTGAAGCAGTAATGCGTTTCGGTTTGAAGGGTGGGGGAGCCACTGTACTGTACTGAGACTTTAGAAATATCTCCAAGTAGATGGCAGTATTTACATTGTAGATGTGTTTGGGCTCCGGTAACCACTTAACACCAGATCTACGACCAGAGCGGTAGCCCCGCGTCCCGCTGGTTGTGAAGCAGCCCCTCGTGTCACACACGGTCAAAGGCCTCAATATCGAGTGTATTGTTCCGAGTTGCGCCGATCCAGAAAGTGGTGCAGAACGCGGTTCAGTTACAGAGTTGTTGGTTGGCCGGTCCTAAAGCCGACTTGCTCCGGCCTGAGGAAAATATACGACGATATTCAGTCAGGAGAAACATCTCAAACAACTTGTCCCCGTGCAATAGTAAGGTAACCAGTCGATAGTTGGAGACCTTTCGCCTATCCTTTACGGGTTCTAGCAAGACAATAATCTAAGTAAGGTAGACTTGGACCAGCCTGTAGTTCTCCATCGACGGCGGCAGAATACGACAGTATGTCCCCATTCGACGCACAAAGCGAGCTCTGAAGGCGTTTCGTGATGGCTGCGATGTAGTGGGTCCAATTGGTGAGCGTCTCCACCATCATCGGCGGATGTCGTTTGAGCTCCACTCTGTCCTTCCCGTCCCGATTTGACTTCGAGGTAGCTAGCATCCCCTTGTCCGCTCTCGGATAGAGATATTTGTACTAAAGCTAAGGTCCGCACGAGCAATGTTTTCAAACTTCACTAAAAGTTAGCGGTGGGTAGTTTATTTAACTAATCACCCTCGGATAGACCGAACAATAACATTTGGATATTCGTCTTCAATACAGTTATATTGTTGGGGTTTAATCTCTTGACACGTTGTGTTATTTTTGCCTCTACCTGACACATTAGAAAGGTATTATTTGTCTTTTAAAGCTAAACATAAAAGTTTTCTTAAAATAAATATCAAAGGTTCGTGCTAAGCAATGATACAGCAGTTACTCTACCGCTGAAACCAAGTTATAAGTAAACCGTGGGTATCGAAGCGTTGGTTCTCTCGTCCCTACGCGGCACGGAGCGGCACGTCAGCGCGCAACGACCTTGTGAAATTACTGAACTATAAAAATGTATTGTTATTTGGAATTCATTAAACTGTACTGGGAATGTTGCAGTGACGATTCTTATGATAGTGCCCTGTCAATCCCTGTAAATCACGACTAAATTTGAATCCACGTGTCTTATTGTTGATTGTTGGGTGATAATTGGAATTCAAAAGCCATGTTCATATACCTATATATAATTCTGAGCGATTCCCGTCTGTCCGTGCGACAGGGACGGGTGTAGGTTTCGAGTCGAAGTTAGTCTCGACCTTCTCAACCAAAGCTCGTTTGGCTCCCGGTGAACTTATTAACACCTGCCTATATCTACTATCGACCTAAAGTTGTGAAATACGCTGAGAAAAGTTATAGCGCAGGTATATGGAAAAATTTGAAAATTGTTTATTAGTACCTTTAACGAATTTTTTCAAATAAAGATCAATTTATTTTCGTCCTTCAAATCAAAAGGCACTCCACAATTTGATGTGATTAAGATTCTTATGCTGCTCGAAAATGAGCTTTTGGGCTGTGAATTCGTCCACCCATATAAGCAAAAAAATAAATAAAAAAAGCTTTGCTTAGATAAGGATGAACGCGCTAGTCTTATCTTCATTATAGTACATCCGAGTATTTGCCTAAAAAGTTTGAAATTTCGACACCTACGTAACGCCTGTGACTTCACCCTTGCGGTCTAAACATGGGTGGCCTTGAACTATCTACCAAGATCGCTTATGATATAATAAATACAGAGTTGTAAATTAACAGTATGAAATTTAACAAGATGAACCCGAACCGGATAGTAGGTACTAGAAGTATTGTTACAAATCATACGCGTGGCCCTCATTAGAAGATTTGCAGATTGGCTTCCCTCCGAATTGCAACACAAATTCTCAGCTTCCTATAGCTTTGTGGCGGAAAAAATTGCTATTTCAACATCAAAGCTCACGCTATCTCAATTACCCATTGAAATTAATATTTGAATAATCAAATAAAATTTTGATTTACGACGATTTTTCATTAATTGTGAACAAGAAGGTTATCAGTGTGTATGTGGGTCACAACCGACATTGTACATCCACCAGGCTTACGTCACCACAGTGACAAGGAACTAATACAGATTGTCATGTACCTATATTGTTATTACTTAGGTACTAATATATAATAAGTGAGTTAACTCAACAAGATGCAAATCAAGACCAGATTAGTATTGTCTTGTCTTGGAGTACACGTCTTCAACGACACATGACACACGACACACGACACACGACGACATCACGCCGCTTAGCAAGTGGACAGTCCTTGACCCCCAGTACCCCCTTCCCCTGTCTCCTCGCACACCCTGCGGTACTTCATACTCAGAAAGGTACGTAATACAAGTTAAATTTAGATTCCTAAAAACACAAATATTAGTTGTGAATTTGATAAGCTTTAAATACGCACTTAATTCCACAATTACATACGTCTATTAAAGCATTGCAAGCGCAGCACCGGGACGCACGCTCGCCGCGAGGCTCCGCCACCAGCCGCGCCGACCAGTGCTGTAGCCGTTTCTTATCGTATCAAATCTGGTACATTTATCCGATAAGTAGACTGATTCACGGGGCGAGTGATACAGGTCGCGCTAGTTATCGATGTATTCCAAAACTTGATAGTGGTGTCGGCGTACTGATAACGCGCAAGCCTGATTCTGCGAACGCCGAATTCCCAAGTACTCATCCAGTGACTCTTGGAATGTGTATTAGTATTGACGGATGTGGTTAGTAGCGTGCGCGATGCAGCGATGATCTCGTGGTGCGCCCTAGCCTTGTGCGTGAGCGTAGTCCTCGCAAGCAACATCACCGTCGAGCAGAGAATGTGAGTACCCAGGGAACGTGAAGCCAGGCCTTTCTAGACCAGTGCTGTCTGCTACTCTTGAAACTGCCACAGCAAATACAAAGCAGTCAGCAACTCTAGTTTATAGGTTAGGCTAACATTCGTAACAATACACCCGTGGATATAATTTAGGTATATTCGCGACCCAGCTTCAGACATGAGGTCGAAGCCCCACCTGTATTGTGTAACGGCTGCTCCGTCCTTCAAATCACAACGCATGCTTCGCGGCAGAAATAGTCAGAATGATGGTAACTGCTCGTATAGGCAATGTGCGAGTACAGTACTTAGAGAACTGCTGTTTATTCTCCGGTCAATTCCAAAGTTGATTAGTAGTTAGACGCCACCACGGCGACGGGAGGAAGCGCGGTGGTAGGTAATATTTTAGGCCACCGCACACCCAAAACTCAACACATGTCACTCGCGCAGTACAAACACACTGGGAATCAACACTGATAGTCAACTCGGCACCGGCATTTCGATTTCATTTAAACAAGATTATTTAATAGCGAAATGCAAAACTATCGATTAGGAACTGAACTCCGACTTCAGCATGCACAGTGGTGTAGCTTGGTGCTTCATATTATGATTCCTCGCTAGTGAAAGTCATTTCAGTGACGATTGGAAATGATCAGCATGAATTCACATTTACATAGCTGAGCACGTATTTACGTATTTACCTACTGTATATAAAAACACTAAATCCGTTCTAATAGAGGAGGCCTTAGCCAAAGTTGGGCAAACCGTCGAAGTTGTCGAAGTCATCGACTCAGCAGAGCCGATAAGTTAAATTTATTATTTGTAAATATCTTTTTAGCTCTTCCCAATATACGTATTAATTGTAAATGCCGTCTTTCCTTAACTGTCTATCAAAACTAATATTAAACCGGAGTATTTGTTTGTGGGCTACAAAAATCATCATGACATAGCTATTTACGTATATAGTAAATACTTTAAAACCATAAATTATAGCAAATTATCCACAAACACACACACAAAGACTAACACACACACACATTTAAAAGTAGGTAGGTATTTAATGACTAAACTTTTGCACAGAACTGGGCGTGGCTCGGACGAATGTTCCGTGTTTACAGTAATGTATTATTGCGACAGGAAAACAAAACAGATATTGTTGGAAATTCACAAAAAAATCGCGGTCACAAATAAGAACTGTTTTATTTATTCACTAAGATTTTGCCGTGAGCAGTGTTCCTGGTAACCGCTAGGAACTGAATAAGAGATCTAGCCGCTGCCACCTGCCTATACTCCGAATGTTGACTACACGACTATTACATATATTAGAAACTGGGTATTTAGAAACATTATTTTGATTATGATGTTAATGTCAAAATACACATTACCCTTAACGAAATGTGAAATGAATTTGACGGAGATATCCGTTAACCGTGATGTTTGAGGGGGCGGTAGTACTGCTACTTGCTATCCAGGACTGAATAGCGATTTAGTTCGAGAGCTGTTTACCACGCTATGCTTACTTCCAAGATGACATGGAGTTGAAAATAAAGTTTAAGAGTTTCTAGATAAGACTGTTCAAAATCAAATTCCAGTCAGAGCATTGTATAGAAGTTGTTGTGGTATAAACGACCCCGTCCGCGTGTAGTTGGAATAGCCCTTTATGCTACCAGCGAATAGGCAGGGAATAAGAACACGATGTGGTACCTACACGATGTGTTCGTATCAAGCGATGCAACTGCGCTGATGTAAGAGTCTCACAATGAAGTGACGATTGGTGCCATTGGTATCAAGGAATTACGTAGCTACTTTACATGTGCTCACGACCGACTGGCACGATCAAGGACTGATATTGTGTAAAAAATCAAAATTTCAATATTTTCGTAATTACTGTTGATAGTTCGTATTGTTACCGCACGTGTAAGTCACGCTTATTTGTATAATAATAATATGCTTTATTTTGCTTATTTGTATCGCGATGCAGTCATGCGTTCCGGCTTCAACAGCGTCACAGGCGTGATACTTTGTACTTATCTCTCAATGTAGGAAGCCGCGTTCACATTGTCTTTTATTTAAGTTAAGTTAATGTTCACGTCACTCCAGATTAAACCTCGAAGAAGAGTACACGTTGGTGGTGACGCCATCCATAGAGTTCATTCTACAGTTTGTGCCGGTGAGTGAAGATGTTACATTCTAAAAATATTTTCTGAAAACAGGTGGATACAGACTTACAGCACACCGATTACTGACCACATTAAACGATTATCGGAGCCCATGGACATCACATATAATGCCGCCAACCATCGTGAGACTTGAGGCCGAAGTCTCGATTGTATCGCGCTACAAACCGCAACGCGGCAGGAGGAGGGCAATATTTCGTATACACTCTAAAGTAGGAATAATAAGTATCTCTACCCAGAACGAAGATCAAGCAGAGTTCCCGAGTCGGTTGTGGGTGCGCAGCGTCGGCGGGGACACCTCTCGGCCGCTACTGCTCACCGCCAGAACTAAAACAGGTAATATCAATCGGTCGATATTACATTACAATTACAACAAGAAATCAAACATTAGATAGATCAAACTGCGCTGCTACGCAATCATTAGAGCAGAGTGCGGAGGCTCCTAGCGTCGTTGGTAGCAACACGCATCAACATACAATAACGTTCATCTTATATCTAGATGTTTTAAAGATACATACGAGAGTGTTACCTCAACTTGCTTCAACGATTGTTTGGATTATTCATATTTTTTGAATATGTAATTTTGTAAACGTTATATACATATGTACATTCAAATGATGTCGAAAAGACAACAACCAAGCGGGCGTTGTGTCGATCATATACTGTTATATCCATTGTAATCGACAGCAGTGCATGACCATTCATCGCCTTTTTAAGAAAAACTCCCTCAATCATAATGAATCCGCTGCATTGATAATGTTGGTTTGAATGAAGTTACTCGACAACACAAACGTCACTACCTACTCGTATTACTTTTGAGAGTATTTCAAGAAAAGTAAAGTATGTAGTTGGGTGGTTTAGCTCGAGTTTTGTGGTCAATTACATTTAAGAAATAATTATCTGGCGGTTTAAATTTTAACTTATTATTTAACTACTCATTCTCTTGCTGACATATAAAACCAAAATGTTTGAATTTATAGTAGATAAATACGAAAATAAATAATGTATACATGATCGACATTGGATTTTGGTATGATTGGGCGATGAGTGCAATTACACTTCGCACATGACCCTGATAATTAATAAATGTATATATTTAGCTACAAGTTGGAACGTCTAATATTCTGCATTCGACTGCATTAAATTTCGTCCCAAACTTTGTCCCCTCCTTACTCGTAGTTGGTGAAAAACTATAGTAAATCACGCATTAAGCGAGTGACAACATTTTATTAGATATTGATAACCTTTAAATATTTATTCAAGGAACCCAACGATAGCGCGTTGTAGAAATAAATTACAAGTTTGTACTTTATTTCTACAACTCGCTATAGGTAGGTATGTCCTATGTGCGGATGCAATACGAATATACACCAGTCAATATACAGAATTACCATAAACACTTACGAGCTGTGTGACAGTGCAGATCGTCCTCTGATATTCTAATAATAGTCGACGAAGAGAGACAGAGACGAGAGTTGATCTAGTTTCACAGTTTGTTGATGACGCAGGAGCGACAACATGGCAGCTCCCGTACCAGTCCGGATCGATGCTGATGTCTGAGCTGGAGCGCACGCTGTGCTGGGATGGCTCCCCGACGGACGCGGTGGGGGCGCCGTCCGAGTGCGAGGGCGCGGGCTCGCAGCGCGGCTTCACCCTGCACCTCGCGTCCGCCTGCGCCGCGCCCCTCACCGTCACGCTGCGAGCCGCGCCCGCCAGGGACTGGCTGCTCGGCTTCCAGGCCCGCACCACCGTCACCGCGACACAGGTACTAAGTCTCTGCCCTTTATAATTCGGCCCAAGCTCACACATTCTCCCGCTATATGTGAAAAGGTTATAAAAACGATTAGTCCTTCACCGCCTCAAACTGCCTGACGACGTTAAAGATCGTTTACGAGCAAAAAACCGATCGATCCAGGTTTATGATTCGTAGCCAACCGAAACAAGGTTGCGAGCTTCATAGCGTTATCTAAAATCATCGTAGAATTGTCTCAGACCTCCGGGCCCGACGCGGCCGCCGTTGTGTCTCCTCGCACACGCCGACCGACCGACCTCCGGCATTCGATGACATAGAAAATTAGAGTTACATACTCGTTCTTGTATTAAATCCGCGAGCCCCGAACAGCCAGAGCTATTCCTTATGGTTCGAACGTAGAACTCCCCTAAAACCCTACGTAAGTAAGTAAGTAATAGACATTATGGGCATTTACAAACTCTGCAAATCAAAATAGCACCTAAGCCCACCGTCAGACTAGCCTCATGTCTCTAATAAACAAATATACGAGTATCTGATCTGCAAGCGCCTCGGGGATTCGTATCCTCCCAGAGCATTCCCATGGACGAGTAGTGTAGGTGTTAAGTGGTTACGGGAGCCCTTAGACGTCTACAGGGTAAACGCCGCCACCCATCTTGAGATATACTTAAGTTCTAAGGTCTTAGTATAGTTACAACGGATGCCCCACCCTTCAAACCGAAATGCATTACTGCTTCACGGCAGAAATAGGCAGGGTGGTGGTACCTATTTGTGCGGACTCACAAGAGGTCCTACCACCAGTAATTACGTAAATTATAATTTTGCGGGTTTGATTTTGATTACACGATGTTATTCCTTCACCGTGGAAGTCAATCGTGAACATTTGCCAGATACGTATTTCATTAGAAAAATTGATACGCGCCTGCGGGATTCAAAAACCGTTACATCGTTCAAAACGAATGCATCGGACGTCGTATCCTTTAGGCCACGACGACTGGGTTCCACTTCAAACACTTGTGCACCACATCACGGATCTCGTTCAAGTATTTCTTAACAGACCCAAAATCGTTTACACGGGAGTCGCTTTCTTTAATGTTGTGTAGGCGTTCAGCAAAGTTACAACAATTACAACGATTTGCACAACACTTCACGAGAGTTCTCATCCAATCATTAATTTCAGTATCGGGTCAAGTAAATTCGTTTCTGTTTGCGCCCAATCTTGTTTGGAGCTTCGCAAGGGTCCGTCCGGTCCGCGTTACTGTTCCGACACGTGAAGTGACTCCGTGATCGCACCGCATTCAGCCTCTGCAGACTATATGGGGTAGACTTGCCAACGAAGGAAAATGTTCTTTTCTCGTAAGGTGGCGTTGCATCAAGCCTTCCTATCCTAAAAAATACCTCAAAGCCACCTCCTATATATTTCCAATATGACCGACAAGTATCGCATTGCGTCTGCTGTACTTTCGACTTTTAGGTACATCGGTGTCTGCTCTCATGCACTAACATGAGCTGTAAATCAAACAAAGCTATGAATATTGAACAGACTGCTTGACTTATTGAGCACTACCTTCACTTGAGAATTAATAAATAATATTTCAGACTGGTCCTGCGGTAAACTACTATGACTTCATTCCGGGACAGAACAGCGTCCGACTGATCGTGGAGTCGGAGGACGAGGTGTGCGCGACCATCTCCGTGCAGAGATACACGGTAGATCTTATGTTTGTGGTCGGTGGGTGTGATTGTCCGTACGTTTTAGCTCAGGCGCACATTGTACGTCGGCCCGGTGTGGAAAGTAAGTTTTTTGTTTCTCTTTAAAAAAAGTTGAACGAAGAAAAGCTCTCGCATTAGAAAAAGTTGAACAATTAATAAAGCTTGTGAGGTCTAATAAAATTGTATACATAAAATGTCTTTCGAAGCACCGGCGCTGACGTCCAACATGCACCCGAACATGCATGTATTGATCTTTAGAAATGGCTTTGGATCTATAGTTGTTTTTAATTTCGTGATTACAATAGTACGTGATACTCTGTGTAATGTTTGCTCGGGTCAGAACGCACACACGCACACGTTGCTAATGATGATCTGCAAACATTTTTGGTACAAATTGTATTATTTTAAAACTAGCGTTCTGAAGTTGATTGTATAGAGTGGGTAGTATCTAGGGAGGATGCTCTGACCTCGTTTGGTAAATATAGCCCCAAATGTAAATAAATTCGCTCAACTCGTGCATTTTTCAACAACAGTAAGGTTACGTCAACATGACCTGAGTTTTTCATTATTATTATTTTATTTTGAAGACGCGTTTTGTTTTTCTCCTTCAGTGTCCGTTGGCGGAGACCATCGAGGACATCGACCTGACGACCCTCAGGATGACCGTCATGCGCTCCGGCGCCGTGCAGCTCTCTGTAAGAACCACAATACAGTTCGTAAACATCGATTCAATACAATCCATTTAATTAACTAAAAAACCGAAAGATTTGTAACTCGTCACTTCGATCCTTGAGATGTTCCGCGTCATCGAAAAGAGTTCTTGTCGTGCGTTGACAGCGCAGCCTGTACCCGATGGGGTTCTACGTGGTGTCGCTGGTGCGGCCCGACGACGCGGCGTGCTCCGGCGAGCCGGCCCCCGAGGACGACTGGCTGCTGGAGGCCGCCCTCTGGGCCCACACTGACCGCCCCTCCCCCCCGGCCACTCTGCGGCAGAAGACCTTCACGCTGACCGTTAGGGTACAATCACTCATTCTCACAACAAATAGATAACTTTTCTGTTCTTGCATCTTTAAATCGACGAAAATTTGAGAAAATTTTTTTTTTTTTTTTTTTTATTGCCTTTGTAGGCAGACGGGCATACGGCCCACCTGATGGTGAATGGTTACCGTCGCCCATGGACTTCAGCAATGCCAGAATCAGAAATGAACCTGACATGATTGAATTCTATAGAGAACATCGTGTAGTCATAATTAAAACTATTGAAAGAGATTCAAGAGGCTTGCGTAAGCAAGGACGGACAAGTAATTGTCCGCCCGGGCCTGTCACTTTGTTCTTCTCTCTTTGTCTTAGTGAGCGCTAAAAGATTCGTTCAAAATTTGATGAGTGTCTTGTAGACTCTCTGTTCTGGCCCAAAATAGCGAAACGTGCAGTAGGTGATTAGAAGTAAGATGTTGGTGTGCAGGCGTCGCTGTCCCGGGCGCAGTACATGGTGGGCGCGGGCGTGACGGTGGCGGTGTTCCTGCTGTTCTACGCGGGGTTCGCGGCGCTGGTGCTGGCGCAGCGCTGGCCCGCCTGCGCGCGGCTCACGGCGCCGCGGGCCGTGCTCGCCGACGCGCACAGTACGCACGCACCCCGCGCGGTCCCACTACAGTACACCGGGCCAAAACGTGACCTCTGTAATGTGTTCCTCTACGTGTTCGTTCGTAGCCGAAGGGGTTTGCTAAGTGAACTCACAGAGCTCAACCTGGGACGACTTGCTAACACTAGCCCTAACGAGAGCAGCGCTTTGCTAAATCTATCACCGGATCGAAATCGCGACCCACTGCAGAGATCTGGCGAGAAACTCAGTGGGTTTCATTTATGGGCTGGGCTGCAGGTCAGACGGCACCGAGAGTGGATCGGGAGGATAAAATAGGATGTGCTTGGCGTCGCTCCGTCATCTGGGTCGAGCATATAAGTTTAGGAAATCACAATATGAGGGCTATCGTGTCGCGTCGCTTTTTTGAAGAAGCGTTCTGACAATAATTAGTAATTTCATACAATAACTAAATTATTACCTAATTGCTTCACACTTTGAGAAAGCGGCACGACAGGAGAATCCTCTTGTCGTAGCCGCTGGAAACTACATACCCAATCCTGTAGACCGAATGGTAAACAGTCGACGTTGCCCAAAACGCGTCATTACGGATCCTCCCGATCCATTAACGGTGCTTTTAGGTATCTCAAGCACCGGTCACCGTCCTCGTCGAATCCGTCGCTTGCGACGAAGGGCTCGACGAGCAAATTAACCCATAGACACAGCCCACTGAGTTTCTCGCCAGGATCTTCTCAGTGGGTCGCGTTTCCGATCCGGCGGTAGATTCTGCGAAGCACTGCTCTTGCCAGGGCCAGTGTTAGCACCACTCCGGTTTGAGCCCCGTGAGCTCACCTACACATTAGGGTGAAACTGAAATAACCTCTCAAGGCTATCATCATAGGTAGGAAAAAAATAATAATTGCTTCAACTGTTCTATGAGAGCCTTGACTTTGTACAACAAAAGTACCATTGCGTCGTTCATTCGGTTCATGCGTCAGAACAAAATTATAACAAAGGCTTTCAACTTATTTCAAACAAAGAATACAGCAAAATACAATCATATCACTAGGTTCACAAGGCTCAAAAGCTTCTGCAAACTTGAACATGTTATTATATTACTTCTTTATTGCAAAGACAAAAGAAGACACATTCGGAGCGACTGCCGCAGCCCTTCAAAGGCCTGAGTCTTGGCTGAATTTGTGTAGCGGAACTAGGACTGTTATTATTAATTTACTGCTGTACATTAGTTGTTGAGCATACGGCGCACCTGATTTTACGTGATTATCGCACCGCAACTCATAGATATTATAACATGTATACCACCACCTACTTGTGAAATGAGGTCGAGTCTCCATTGCAATCTTGCTTTCTATCCTATCTTTGAAACAAGTATATGTAACTATAATTTGACGCATGTAGGTACGCGGCCTACTCCGATTGGAGTTAGATTTCGACTAATTAATTAAGTAACACGCGCGACGAAACTTAGCTCTTGCAAACTCAGAGTCTGTTCCATTTTCCTTGACCTAGATGATACAGATGGTTCATCACGTTCCAAAGAGGACTTAATGAAAGCGATATCGCCAGGACAATGCCTATTGAGCGGAGAAAATCGTTTACTTCGGACTTACTCGTAGCCTGCGTTATTTTTTGAAGTGAAACTTATTTAGGCGCATTGAGAGTAAAATTTAACTCGCGACAGATTCATTGCGGCTAGACAGACAGGATACAATTTAGGAAGAGCGAGAGTGAGAAAATAGACCGAGCGTCTCGCGATCCACTCGACGAGCGCGGGGAGAGGGAAAGGACAAAGAGAGCTAGGTCGTTTCTCTTATACACAGCATTCCCTATTACAAGAAAATTTTGATTTAAGGTCGAAAAATGAAGAAAATCACAATACTAATAATAATAATAACCTTAATACGATACCTTGTGTAATATAATTCAAAGGATGGCCGAAGAATGGTTTGTTCGTCATGTTCAAGTACTCTTTATTACGAAACTATTTACTGGGAACTTTTTTTCTTTTGTCGAGTCAATTATTCTGATGGAACGCTGTCTACAGTTTCGGCTCGATGTACTCTTTGTGGGACAGCCGGTATGCAGGCGCCTCAGCGCACCTGAAATAATATTCATAGCATTAACGATAGAATATAACATTTAAAAATAAGTAGCCTCTGAAATCAGAGAGTAAGACTTCTTGAAATATGTAGGTACATTGCATTAATGGGTACCACTGCAGCAGCGTTCTTCTACTCAGTACACTTGAGACCTTAGAACTTATATCTCAAGGTGGGTGGCGCATTTACGTCGTAGATGTCTATGGGCTTCAGTAACGACTTAAAACCAGGTGGGCTGTGAGCTCGTCCACCCATCTAAGCAATAAATAAAAAAAACATTTCTGCCGCAAGGTAACTCTTTGTTCTTAATTATCTGAGCTCTCGGACGGTGTGAACGTTGTCCACGGCTGTCCCCGCACCTCAGTGCGGACGTGCCTCGCGTCGTGGTCATCAGTCACCACTTTAATAAGTCCGAAGTCGTCATGATCTAAAGGACGGCAATGTTGAGATTCCGCTGTTTTTGTATTTACTATCCTATTGGGACCTAAGTTGAGCTAGTGGTTACATTCATGTGGTAATGTCCATAAATCAGGTGGGTCGCACATCGTCTAGATAGACTATCTTTTACCACTAACGAGACGACTACTACGACTAAGATAACTTGGCGTCTACAGAGTCTGAGAGCGGAGCGTTGTCGGAAGGCGTCAGTGTGACCGGCGTGACTGCCGAGACCGGCGTGACGAGCGTGACCGGCGTGACGAGCGTGACCGGCGTGACGAGCGATGCGGGCACGCCCGTGCGGACCGCGCGGCGGCGGCGCGGCTCCGGTGAGTGCGCTGTATACTTGCATTCTCAGTGCTCTTTGCTGTCGTTGTGGTTGCCGTTAGGTTGGCACAACTGTTTTCTATTTTGGCGCGGAGTTTGAGTTGCATCTGCTATTTGGATTGCTACAGTGCTGTTCTTGTTTATATCACATTTAGTGTGTATTGCGAATTTGATAATGGACAAAAACATCGAAGAAAGAGACTGTCTTAAATTTTGCATTTGCATTCAAATTTGTAAGAGATAGCCGCCGAGCTTTCTCTCTCGCAAGTCGATCCGTACCATTTAAATAATCACTTTGTTTGAAACATATTGCCGCTCCGCTAGTACTAAAACGCTTGAATTTTCTTCAAAAACTCAACCACACAAGGAGTCGCTGAGGACATATTTGGAACGATTCAATTCCGACACAAGATTCATGAAATGCATTGACATTGCACTGGTGACGAGACGCGGGTTTACGAGTTACACATGGAAACTAGCCAACAGTCTTCGGAGAGGCGCCTTCCAACTGAACCGAAACCGAAAAAAACCACGACAAATTGATCAAAGTCAAAATCGTGTTGAGTGTTTTCTTTGACTGTCGCGGGGTTTGTGCACTCGGAATTCTTCTCGAAAGATCTAACGATAAATGAAGAATTCTAATAAATATTTGAGCGTTATGTGGCGTTAAAGTTCGACACAAAAGATCACATTTGAGGAAAGAAAAGTCTTGGGTTTTTCATGATGATAATGCGCCCTCGCACAAGAACATCATTCTGAATGAATTTTTGTCCAAAAACAAATACCATGTAGTAACCACCTCATTCACCAAATACGGCTTCCAGCCGACTTCTTTCGATCGTCATTAAATACAATCGGTCTTTAGCTATGAACTTGCCTCAATAAAAAATTATGAAGTGAATACTGCTGGCTTAAATCTTTGATCCGTATACTTTTTTCCATAAGACTATTCTATATCAGTATTTTATACTCGTAAATTATAATTAAGCGTAATGCAGATGATAATTACACTGTCTGTGCACTGCAGACCTACTGTAGCGCTAGTTATAATAAAATAAAAGGAATTCGAAAAAGCTTGAACCAAGCTAAGGAAATTTACAAGCCCCAAAAAAGTGCCGGTATAATTCATCATAGCTTCTTACCAAATGACACCAGCATTACTGCAGATGTGTACTGTGAGGAACTGGACACAAGGGCGAAGAAGCTCGCGAACTCCGGTCAGTCTCAGTCAATCACACGTCCCCGCTGCTCCTACACAACTCTCGACCTCATAGCTAGGGTTTACTGTTTTGCGTCATCCTTCGTACTCTCCAAACCAGATATAATATCCATAAATTTTCGTAGAAGGGGCTTTTAAAGAGTACATTCCACAATAAAAAAAATAACGCATTTCAGATGCAACATTTGACAGCAGTGATGCAAGTGATACAGATTCGGAGGAGGAGTCTCCTGCCGTCACAAACGACACGATCACAAACAATATGATCGCCAATCCCACCGCATCGTCCTCTGCCGCTAACCCCACTACGTCTCCCGGGACCCCCGGTAATCACGGAGCAGCCTCGCCCCCGGACCGAGCCAATGGAGCCGTCACGGAAGGCGACGCCATAGAACGGAGCACGGTACAGGAGGAAACGGTAAGGATCATTGCTTCTTCTCTCTTCCTTCTCTAACTTTAGGGGGACGTGAAAAGTCATGTTCTGGAAAACTAATGCGTAGATGGGCGGAAGAACTCGCAGACCTCCTGGACGCTAAGTGATTACCAAAGAGCACAGATATTACAACGAAGTCTTCGTTGTGCACCTTTCGAACTAAGCTACAACTGTAGTGAAAAAACCGCTGTCTTACCTACGATGCATGGAACTCCCGCTTCACTTACTGGTAGGGCGTGTTGGATAGAACCGTGGGTCCAGATGTACTGTGCTCTGCAGAGTCGTCCGTTCGGTCTGCCGGCGCGGCTGCACGTGGCGGCGCTGGCGCGGCGCGGGCGGCGCGTGCTGCGGGCGCGCTCGGACCGCTACCTGCACACGCTCTACACCGTGGCCGTGTTCTACGCACTGCCCGTGCTGCAGTTCGTCGCCGCCTTCCAGGTGGTACGTCCTCTTTTTTTTCTTATTTATTCCTACTTAAGCTGATAGCCTTGAGAGGCTGTTTTTTTTTTATTGCCTAGATGTGTGGACAAGCTCTTAGCCCACCTGGTGTTAAGTGGTTACTGGAACCCATAGACATCTACAACGTAAACGCTCCACATACCTTGAGATATAAGTTCTAAGGTCTCAGTATAGTTACAACGGCTGCCTCACCCTTCAAACCGAAACGCATTACTGCTTCACGGCAGAAATAGGCGGGGCGGCGATACCTACCCGTGCGGACTCACGAGAGGTCCACCAGTAAATGCCAGAGTTACCCTAACGTCTAGGTGAGCTCTTTGGGTTCAAACTTGGAGGCGTTGCTAACACTAACCCTAGTAAGAGCAGTGCTTCGTAGGGTCTACCACTCACTGAAAAGATCCGACGAAAAACTCAGGGGTCTGTGTTTATGGGTTAGTTCACTCGATTCAGTCGATTACAGCGAGTTCTACGCCCTGCCTATTTCTGCCGTGAAGCAGTAATGCGCTTCGGTTTGAAGGGTGGGGTAGCCATTGTACTGCCTGTATGAGACCATTGTATGAGACCTGAAAACTCTTGCCTCAAAGTGAGTGGCGGCATTTCCGTTGTAGTTGACATTGACGTTATAGTCCACACGAGGAAAATACTAAAATGAAATTTATTCCCAAGCGTGATGGAATATGAGTAGCTCAGATTCTAACACTAGATGGACACTACTTTCCGGTGGTTTCCGCTACTAAGCGTGCAGATGATCTAGCATGCGCCATACAAGTGGGCTCACTCGTCAGATGCTGAACATATCGGGGTCGCTGGACATGTGCTACTACAACTTCCTGTGCGCGCACCCGGCGGGCGGGCTGTCCGACTTCAACCACGTGTTCTCGAACCTCGGCTACCTGCTGCTCGGCGCGCTCTTCATGCTGCAGCTGCAGCGCAGGAAGCGGAACAGGAAGCGGGCGCCACGACATGAGGTTCCACTTTACGTCATTCTACCACGAAACATGTCAAACGTTTACATACATAATAACGACAGTTGTCCAGAAAATGTTTAAAAAAAGGAATATGTTTATAATTTAACCACAATTGAGAAGTGGTGCGGACAGAAGCTACGTCCGTCGCCGATGGCGGAAGGGCTTGTGATGAGCCCGCAGGAGTGGCTGTCAGCATTATATCCCTGCCGCGGAGCTGTAGTGCGTCCCGCGTGAGGCTAGCAATAAAATGTAGATTTCGACCTAATGCCTCATTGTGAATAGCGGCAATCAGGCGGGCCACGGCGCGGGCAGCCATCTGCGCTATCCACAGATTCGGTAGAATCTGGCGCCAAGTTCCGTTCAAAAATCCCGTTGTAAACGGAGCGCCAGACTACCGACTGTGTTTACTGTGAGCAGAACAGTTTTTTGAGGTTGCGAAATTTTATTTAATTCTACGGTACTTCTGGTTCCTAAATTGTATATTATATCAATCACTCACAACTTTATTTTACTGATATTAACTAGTNTATTTTTAAATTTTCAACAATTTTTTTTTAATTTTTTCATCTTTATGACGGTTTCTTGGTATTTTTTTGTATTTCACATATTTTTGTAGAGAATGAAAGCTATTGAAGTCTTCTTTTTTTGTAAAGTGCAAATGTTATTGAGATGAGTTTTATAAACGTGGACTTGGCGCAATTTTTTACAGTGAAACTGTTTTTGTTCGGATAATAAATACTATAAATGATGACGTGTGATACAAACAAGCCGGACGGTTGTGCGGCGTCAAACCATTGTGACGCATCGACACTGTTGTGCAGGAGTACGGTATCCCGGCGCACTACGGACTGCTGTCGTCCCTGGGCGCTGCCATGATGGTGGTGGCGCTGCTCTCCGCCAGCTACCACGTCTGTCCCAACAGCCTCAACTTCCAGTTCGGTATGCACTTTGGAACCTCCTCGCTCGCACTAACTCTACAACTCTGCACATGCCACGTATCATTGAACGAAGTTCAGCAGAGAGGACAGACACAGAAAGTCATTAAAATTTTTGGAATGCAATATTTATTCAGACTGATGCGTAGAATTCAATCTTTCAGGGGGATGCCTTCTAATATCGTCGATTGAGTTAAATATCAACGACGACTGCGTACCGGAAAGCGCAGCGCGGGTGGGTGCGCCACCGACCAGCAGCCGACCGGCTAAAAGTCGCGGGGACTCGCTGTATCCGGCTGTCACTGTGGCGAACCTTAGAGGAGGCCTATGTCTAGCAGTGGACATCCGTGGACAGAGGGAAAAAAGAAGGAGTTAAATATTAGAGCGAGAAAGAGGGAGAGAGAGAGAGAGTCTACAATTATCGAGAACGTTCCCGACAGTACTAGTTGTTTTGATATTCGTTTCTGCTATTTGTTGACAGATGGCATTATTTATAAAGGCATACAATACGATTACATCGTAAATTTTTTTACAAAGGCCTTCCAAAAGCAAACCGTCTATCCTAAGCTCTTGTCAAAAAGCTACTTTTTCTGTCTTTTAAATTTGGAAAGAGCGTACTTTTGATATTGTCTCTGTTAGAACAGCCAGTATTATATTAGCTAGTTACTAAGGTTTCAAATATTTATCTATGAGTTTATTATTTATTTATTTTTTATTGCCCTTGTATGTAGACGAGCATACGGCCCACCTGATGGTGAGTGGTTACCGTCGCCCATGGACTTCAGCAATGTTAGGGGCAGAGCCAAGCCGCTGCCTACCGAAATTACCTACCTATTAATAAATTTATTTAATTTATTTACTATAGATATATTATTTTGAGACTTTTCCTTTTACCTGTGCTATAAGATTTAGCCTCTCACCAAATTTTATTATTCTAGGTCAAGAGAAAGTGCCCTATAGATTTTTAGGAGTAAAAATGTAGCTGTGTGTTTTTTGTTATTTGTTATTTTTTGCTTTTGTTTGCATTGAGTTAGAAGATTGAGATATTTAATAATTCTTTGCGCCGTAGACCTTATGTTATCAATATTTTTAACTAGACAAGAATTTGGTTCAACTATGTAGTTGAATAGAGAGACAAACAGACGGACAGCGAAATGAGGACTTCATGTTTTCTGTTGAGGGCCAGTTCCTTAAAAACATGTAGTTGAATACGTGATGTGTGTCTTCAGACACGGCCTTCATGTACGTGCTGGCGGTGCTGTGCATGGTGAAGATCTACCAGTCGCGACACCCCGACATCAACGCGCGGGCGCACGCCACCTTCGGGGTGCTCGCCGTCTTCATCGCGCTCGGTAAGGGCCCACCTCATCATTCAACATTAACACCTACAAAACTTCTGCACCTGCGCAAATACAACTAAACGTAAACATCACAGTGCTGCTACTTTAAAAATGTGCCGCGTCAGGCTCCTTAATCGGGTACAGATATATATTGAATTCTATTTAATTTAAAATATATATTGAATTCTATTTAATTTAAAATTAAAGTCCCATTTTCCCTGGTAAATTGAGGAACAAGTGCCTCAGAACATAATAATATCGCTTCATACAAAATTTGTATTAGCCTGCGACGCTCACATTAGCGGTATGCCCCGTGGCGTCGATCTCTCTCGGTGCCTGCAAGTGACGTAGTCATGTTGCTAACAGTATCTGCGCGAGTACAGTACGTGCGCGCCCACTTCGACAAAGCGGCACGACACGAGAACCCTCTCATCGTGGCCGCCGGTAACTACATTCCCGATCCTGCGGAAAGAATGGAAAGCAGTCGACGTCGCCCAAAACACGTCATCTCGGATCCTCCCGATCCACTAACGGTGTTTTTAGGTACCTCAAGCCCCAGTCATCGCTCTCGTCCAACCCGTCGCTTGAGACGAAGGGCTCGACGAGTAAATTAACCCTCAGACACAGTCCATTGAGTTTCTCGTCGGAGATCTTCTCAGTGGGTCGCGTTTCCGATCCGGTGGTAGATTCTGCGAAGCACGGCTCTTGCTAGGGTTCGTGTTAGCAATGTCGTCAGTTTTGAGCCCTGTGAGCTCACCTACTAGTTAAGGTTACGCTGAAATAGCCTATCAAAGCTCTCAGCTGGGTAGGAAAAAAAAATCAAAACATGCGCGTGTTGCAGTGGTGTGGGGCGTGCTGGGCGGGGGGCCGCTGTTCTGGAGCGTGTTCACTGTGCTGCATGTGTTCACGTTCCTGCTGCTGTCCCTGCGCATCTACTACGTCGGACAGTTTCGTCTCGGTAACGAGCTTGCTATTTTTAGAATGTACTTCTTAGGAATTGATTTCATATAAAGGTCCTATGGCTTCGTCCTAGAACGACACCGCTCCGATGCTCGCGCGGATGTCGGCACGAGCGACTGTGGGATACGTTGGAGAATGGCATTGTCTGTGTATTACACCGGGGTACTCCGACCGCCGACCGGAATATGAGACACGCGTCTCAAGATGGGGGCAAATTAGCGATAACTATACTTTGCGTAATTGTTAAGATTCAATTGTACAGTATGACAATTATCCCGTCCTTCAAATCGGAACGCGTTACAACTGCTCGCGGCAGAACTAACCGCGGCGGTGGCACCTTCACGTGTGGCCTCACAAGATGTCCTATCACCAGTAATTATGAACGTTTGGATAATTTTATTTTTAAAATATTATATTATTCCTTCATACGGAAATCATTCTTGAGCATGAGGAAAGTATGTACAATAGGCGACACCACGTGTGGACGCTGCCCAATCTATAGGTCTCATGGACTAGCTTAGCAGCTGGCGGTTCGTCTCCAGCAGCGACGAAGTAATAGAGGACTGTGTCCTGAGCATCTCGTACGCCATGTTGTCCCGCGACCGCCTGCCATGTGTGTGTGTGTGCGCAGAGAAGTCGAGCCTGGCGGTGGCGGCGCGGGGCCTGCGGGCGCGGCCGCTGTACACGCCGCGGCTGGTCATGCTGCTCATCGCTAACGCCGCCAACTGGGGCTTCGCCATCTACGGGTGATCTCACTGCTCTATTACCTTTATTTTTTTGTTTCGGCAACCAAATTACCTACGTGCTAGTGGGTCAATAGGGGCAGTCGCGGCCATCTTGGGGATGAGTCACCGTATAATTTGTCTGCGAAAAGGAACGCGGTACTGAATAGGATCAATGGGACAGGCTGCTTCCTGCGGGGTCTAGAGCTGAGCGTAACCCTTCCCCGGCCCGCAGCCTGGTGCCGTCCGATCGGCGCAGAGAGGCCACTGCTGCTACCTTAATCTAACACGTTCAGTAGCGGACGTTGTGAGATAGATGTGTACCTAAGTGAAATCATTTAGTATACAAGCGCGCTGCTTCAATGCGGCTGCAATAATCAGATAAAAGGAATGAAGATGCTGATTGTATACGAATCCTCAAACCATTAGGATTAAAACAGCTTCAAACCTCGACAGTCGGCCCTCACGGGGTCTTCTTGGGGCTTTCGTCCTGCCCGCGGGCAGGTACCTAACAGTCTCTCGAAGGAAATATTTACTTAACACGGTCTCAAAAACGATTTTAATGTTGGTAAAGTAATGAGATCGCAATATGTAAACAAATTAACATAATTTAGAAAACTGCGCAATTACAAGGTTTACCGCCGGCGGCACAATGCGGCATAATGTCCGCCGTAAAGTATTCGATGAAGTGGAGCAGACGTCATGGTGACGACGTGACGGCTGGCGACATCACTATGGGCTTTGATGAATACTATAAACCTGACGTTCATATTATTTGACCATTTAACGCAATAACAAACACACACTCTCACTCTCATCTCTCTGGACACGCCAACAATGGCGGCGGCAGATGGACAGGACGACGTGCCAATTCGCAGAGCTAAGTTTGTCGACTTGCCTGCTAGCGCGAGGATCCTGCCCCCTCGCCAACCGCACCATGTGCTCCGGCAGGCTCCTGACCCATGCGGGGGACATAGCGACCCACCTGCTGAACGTGCTACTGTGCAACACGCTGCTGTACATCGTGTTCTACGTGCTGATGAAGCTGCTGCACGGGGAGCGCATCCGCTGGTACTCCTGGTGCTTCTTGGCCGCGGCGGCCGCCTGCTGGGTGCCAGCTCTCTACTTTTTTACTTCCGGTAATATATTTATTAAACTTTATGTATGTATAAGAGTACAGTGGCGGAAGAGTGCATTGCTTTATTGTAAAAAGTAACGTACACAAAATGTGCAGGATATAACAAACCAGCTAAGTATATGTATTAACTAAAACTAATATCTTTTTACCATGAAAGGTTGCTGCTATTGATCTACCGACATACCGGCCGCCGCATCGGTATATTATTGTATATTGTATTCACTGACATAAAGTAGCATGAGTGCGGTCGTGCGCAGGCAGCACGGACTGGTCGGCGACGCCGGCGCGGTCCCGGCACCGCAACCACGAGTGCCGCGTGCTGCAGTTCTACGACTCGCACGACCTGTGGCACATGCTGTCGGCCGCCGCGCTCTACTTCACCTTCAACGTCATGCTCACCTGGGACGACGGACTCTCCGCCGTCAAACGGACAGAGATTGCCGTCTTTTGAATTTAATATAACTATTTTTTATTGTTTGTATCTTTTATTTCTAAGTGTATTTATCATGTTAAAACAATTCGTTAATAATTGTAAATAGAAATGCTTTAACAAAAACCGACTTCAAATAGAAAAAAAAAAGATATTCCAAAACAAATTTATATACACTAAAAACAATAATCATCGAAATCGCTTGGCGTGACATTGAGTTATTGAATTATTCATCTATTTGTCGCGCACGTACTTAATGTAAATTTAAGACTTATATGGTTTTCTCGTGGATACGATTATCAGAACTGGTCTAAATTGAAATGGGACCACGCGGGAAGCGTCAGCTTTCTAATAAAAAAGAATCATCCAAATCGATTCACCCATTCAAAACCTATGAGGTAACAAAAAAACAGTCGGATTGAGAACTTCCTCCTTTTTTGAAGTCGGTAAAAACAGTAGAATCCGATGTGTCTCGTACATTGAAGAAAAAAAATTAAAATAGAAATAGGGGCGGCACTGAAAATTTCGGGAATGAACGAAGTGATACAACATTACTATTTAAAAATGAATTTATTGCTTTTCGAAGTATTCTCCGCGAAATTTGACATATTTTTCCATACGATAGAACCAATCATTGAAGCAACCATTCCATTCGGAAGTTGGGGTCTCCAAAATGGCCGTTTTGTAGGCGTCCACAGCTTCTTCAGGTGATGAAAATCTCTGTCCACGCAATTTATTCTTTATTTTAGGGAAAGTATAGAAATCATTAGGGCTTAGGTCGGGGCTGTACGGCGGGTGGTCTAATAATTCTATGTTTTCTTGCTCTAAAAACTCTTTTGTTCTGTGCGCGGTGTGAGAACTCGCATTGTCGTGATGGAGGATGATGCGGCGGTTGCAGTTCTCTTTACGGAGTTCAGAAACGACCTGTGGCAAACAAATGCTAGCATACCATTCTGCATTAACCGTTCTTTGTCCCTCAAGAGGAATAGTCGTAACATGGCCGGTTTTGGAGACAAACGTGGCCACCATTTTTTTTGCAACACTCCGTGAACGAACAATTTTTGTTGGCTTTAACTCATTTTCGAACACCCAAACTCGTGACTGGTTTTTTGTTTCGGGTTCGTACGCGTATATCCAGGATTCGTCACCTGATACAATGTTGTATACAGCATTTGAGGATCCTGCGTGGAATCTTTCGAGAGTTCTGACGCACCAAGTAACGCGAGCCGCTTTTTGCTCTTCACAGAGCGAATGCGGTATCCATCGGGAAAACAACTTTTTTACACCTAATTGTTCATGCAAGATTATTTGTATTTGACTCATGCCAATGTCTAAAGTTGCCTGAATTTCGCGGTATGTCACATGTCGATCTTCCTCAATCAGCTTACGCACAGCATCAACGTTTTCTTGGGTGACTGCAGTTTTTGGACGACCTTGACGGGGATCATCACTGAGCTTGACACGTCCACGTTGAAACTCAGCAAACCGGCGATAAATTGTGGTTTTGGATGGGGCTTCATCACCAAATGCAGAAATCATCCGGTCAACACACTGTTTTTGTGTTAAACCACTTCGAAAGTCATAATAAATCATCGCTCTTGAATTTTCTCGAGTCAATTCCATTTTCTCAACGACTAAACAAGTTTGAGTCCGTTGTTTATAAATAATTTTTATTTCTATCAATCATGGTATCGATGCATCTCTGTCAGCGCAGTCGTAATTTTTCAAGGCCCTTCGTGAAGAAGTCACGTAAGCCAAAAAACTCTTCAAAGGTATTGGGCACTGCCTATCGAGTATTGAATTTTTCATACCAAGAAGCTGTCCAAACTTTAGAAATAGTAGAAGTCTGTCGGAGCAAGGTCTTATTTTTTTTAGATTTGTCTAATGTACTCTCTAAAAGCCCCGTCTACGAAAATTGATGGATATTTAAATCTGGGCTGGTCTGGTGAGTACGAGGGATGACACAAAACTTCCAACAAAAGCTCTTGTAGCTTAGAGACCGTCTGTTGTGTCGCGTATGAGATCGAGCGATATCGTATAGGAGCAGCGGGGACGTGTGAATAAGAGATAGAATAATCCCATTTGGTAAGAAGCTATATTGAATTATTTCGACACCACTAAAGTGACCATGACTCTTTTATGGATAGGTTATAGTTTAGGGCAATGCCTAGATGCTCAACCAGGTTCTAACAACCATGACTTACGATATCAAAAAGAGTTCATTTTTCGTCGCAAGTGACACTGTGATTCAAAACCCCTTCATTTCTGTGCTGTTAAGCAATATGACGCATCATCATCATCATCATCATCATCATCAGCCTTTATCTGCCCACTGCTGGACATAGGCCTTCCCCAATGCCTTCCACATAATGCGGTCCTCCGCCTTCCGCATCCAACGACTTCCCGCCGTGCGCACTAAGTCGTCAGTCCACCTGGTTGGAGGACGCCCCACGCTCCTTATACCCATCCGTGGCCTCCATTCGAGGACTTTCCTCCCNCTTATACCCATCCGTGGCCTCCATTCGAGGACTTTCCTCCCCCACCTGGCGTCGCTGGCTCGACAGATGTGACCGGCCCATTGCCACTTCAGCCTGCTAACTTTGAGAGCTATGTCGTCGACTTTGGTTCTCCGTCGAATTTCTTCGTTCCGGATTTTGTCCCTTAGAGAAATACCTAGCATAGCTCTCTCCATCGCCCATATGACGATATCTCTCCCATATGACGCATAATAATATCAAATCGCGTTCGTCGCGCTCGCGATCGTTTGATTCTAAGTAGTGGTAGCTGCTAGAAAATATAAAAGCGATATACATTACGTAAGTTTTTTTTTTTTAATTTACCTTACTCAAACCAAAATAAAATAAAGCTTTCAACATAGCGTAAAAAGAATCTTAGTTTTTAATGTCAAATCAGTGACACTGTCATGGTGAAGTGACGTCACGGCGGCGACTGTCGTCGCGTTCTCATTTATTTTTATTTCGCAACTTCCAGTAGGTATACCTATGTAATTTTCTCTTTTCCAATCAAAGAAAACGCCAACATTTCACTTAATTACATATCATCGGAATGGATAACCAATACTATTACAAGTTAATGGCGAGTTATTTATCGAAACGAAACTGTGACGAGTCATTCATGAGGTACTTTTTTGGAAAGAATGCCTTGAAGAAGACACCCGAAGAGTTGGAACGGGCTGATGAAAGGAAGAGACGACTACAGCGGGAGCGGTCACGGAGGTACCGAGCGCTAAAGAACGCGCGACGACAAAACGAGAACGGCAGTCGGGACAGCAATGACGGAGATTCTTCGCGATCGAAGTCTCGCACGCTGCTACTCGAAGAGGAGTTCAGCGACGGCGACGAGCCACCCACTTTGTGCGATCTTAACTACGAAGATAAATGGCGTGAATCCTCCGACTGTGCTTCAGACGACAACTCTGCGCAGTCGGCTGCAGAACTAAAGGACTCGGCGAATGGCAACGAGTCGCTCACTCTGCGTGAGTTCCTTTCTTCACCGAATGCGGAGCTGGACTATCCTACAGTGCACAGTCTCATGTTCCACTGGTTGCAAACGTAACATCTGAATGTCACTACGATCTCACTACAGGTACTGTTTCGGTATTGTTTGATTAATAGTTCTAAATTACAATTACCTGTAATTGAATCTCTGAAGTGAGCACATGACTGAGCGTGGTAGTGTAACACATATCATAAATGTTGCTGCTTAAATTCACATCACATCTTGACAGAACCGTCCTTAATAATTTTTACTTATAGTTAGGTTGTAATTTTGGTTGAAGTGTCAGGCTGGTTTTGCGTATGTTCTGTTTTTATGAAATTTAAAAATTTAATTTCACAACAATTATAAAATAATTGTCACATACAATGGCTAAAAGTGGTTCATACCATCAGCGGTTCATAATAATATGTATAGCATACTATGTGTTTGATAAGTACACATCTTAAGTGAAAACCAACATGTACCAGAACAATTAATTATTCTGTGTGAATTATTGTATTGAACCCTTCTAAAGTATAATGTCAATGTTTTATTACCTACAGTAAAGAGCGTAACCTACAGCCTGATTACTTCTAGTTGATAGAATATTCCAATAGACAATAAGATGTTAAGTTGCCATATCCTAATATTTAGATACTCAACTATTATAATTATAATATATATATGCATATAGAAATGTATAAAGTATTATATACCTAGTTTGTGATACGAATGAATTTACTTTTGTGTGAATATACAACATAGATATAGCAAGTTTAGAGTAAGAACTAAAATTTAATGTCAAGATTAAAAAAGGAGAAAAATCTGTTTTTCAATGTGGATGCGTGCTTCACATAGCTCAGAACAATTTAGTTATTAATGTTTCCATTATTGAGTTGACATTATTAAGGACATGGATCATATTTGTAATTAATACTATGATGACTTAATAATAGTAGCATTCATTACAAGAAATGTAATAGTTTATAATTTATTAAGAACAATATTTGGAGTGTTTATCTCTTGAGCAAAGCACATGATGCCTTCTATTATGACAGTAAACAATAACACCATTTCTTAAGTTGTTGACTGTGGCTTCACTTCAACTTACAATCTGCTGCTTGAACTAGAGTCAGAATATTTGGTTAAATAAATTAAATTATTAAAGACGATTTTAACATTCTACTTAAGTAAATAAGTCTACTTTGGGCATTTTCATAAATAAGCTATGTGTGGAATGCATCCACTTTATAAACAAAGTAATTTCATTATGATACTGACTGTTTCTTTTAACATTCCAAAATTTGGTTTCTCTTACGAGTTTTTTTGTATTTTTTTATTATACTGTTTGTGTTTCCACAAAGTTTTTCTTTTTATATAGAAATTATGTGGATTAATGTAAAACAATGGCATGATATATTTGAGTATACCATCTTTGTTCTATGAAAGAGTGCATATTGAAAAACTAAAACCCAATAATAAAATTAAACATTGTGTGTACATCAGTACTATCGGTACTCACAAATATTTAAAGACTAAACTATAATATTGTGCATTTATTATAATTGTTCTCCAATTGTATGCTCTCTTGAGTTTGTCTAATGTAGTTATTACTTTCGTATGTATGGAGGATAACAAACTTAAAACCTTGTCATCAGTGCTCCATAGAGTCATCTCATCTATACTCGCATTTTGTTAGACTGACTGACAAAGTAAATTTTGTAGGTGTGCAGACTAGAAGACCCACCCAAAATTTTGCGACAGACAGTCTAGTACTCGGAGATCTCGAGGCAGAGCCAAGAGATTTTCTAGTACGTCACTCATGTAGTCTAAGGCTATCAGCCCAGTACAAATAAGTTGGGGTCTGTTTTAAATTCATTTAATTATATAGTTGGTTGTACCAATATCCTTACATAGTAAACATTTGCCATTCCTAGCTACAGCGACGCTACGAAACAATACAATTGATTAAACGGGCCAGGTCCCAAGATCAACCCACATGACAACCCCGCCACCATGACCACATAACTTCATGGCCTCAATATTCGAGATGTAAACATATCTGCTCTTAATTTTGGATATAATGTCTTGTGCCTTTTCATATTGATAATCTGCTTTTATTTTCGTCTATAATTTTACCTAATTGTATTTTTTAGGAGTAGTGATTAGTTTTAACTAGCAACTATGCTTCCTTTATTCGAACATGTTTCGCTCAGATGTTAGTAAATTTTAAATTATAACTAATATATTTGATTAGTGGAATTTTTTGGTAATCAAAATCTAAAAACGTGAACAAGACGTACATATGATCCCTCTTTATAATGTTACATATTATATTATTATTAATTTATATTTTTTAATGTGGATAGGATGTAAGGCTCTCCTGAAACTGAAACCGTACGGAGCGGTTCTGTACACCCTACAATATGGGTACAATGTAACTAATAAATAGTGCCTATAGGCGGTGTAGATATTGTAAGCAAACGTTATCAGAGCACCGCAGCCATAATTAGTTTTTAGTTAAATAATAGCACTTATTGATGTTGGTGCACTAATTTAAGAAATAGTCTCCAAAAGAGCAAGCAAATTCATGTAATGTAACAACAATTAAAGCCGTTGATATCGACTTAGTTCAGAACGATACGGAACAAAATTAAATATCTTGCCGTACCTACCCGCATTGTCATACGTCAGTGAAGTCGGTATGTGTACGTTGGGGCAATGGACCGTAACAATATAGCAGATAGTTATAATAACCGGCAAACTTCTTGAGCATTTGTTGACGTAGTGGGGGTAAGTTTGCGCATGGTACACTCACGTGCAAAAAAATTACTTACTCTGCGTCATAATGCTATTAAATTATTAAAATCAACATGTATTTATTTATATATTTATTAGAACATCAACAAAACATATAGGTTAATAATTGTAATAATTTAATCTTGGGGTAAAATAGATATTCCTTCTATTAAGTCAAAACTAGAGCTGTTGCCAGGTCTTGGTTCAGTTAAAGCGAAGCTGGTATTTGTAATTTTTTTTTCGTTATCATAATCTTGACCATCATCTGATCATCATCATCACTGTTTTCATCACCCGAGTCGCTATCATCGTGATGAGTCGACATAGGGCTCATCGGCGTAGTTTACAACTCGGTCGATTCGGTCTTCTTTTTTGTCTATAATTAATTATTTTTTGAAGATATTCGATTCGTAGTAATCGAATGTTACTTTTTTCATTTACCAGCTTCCGATTATTTTCTGTTCTTTTTTTCCATCTGAAGCCTAGCTCTTTCATAATTCGTCGTAAGCTTCATTCCGAGCCATTAAAATTTATATCTTCTTTAAATTTTTCGAAGCCTTTCTACGGTACGGAGTTTCGCTGCTTGTTATGTAGTTATTATGATTACATCTTTTTATTACAGATTGAACGAAACTATCCATTCCGGTAACTTTCTTCTTCCCTGATCTTTTCTTACCCGGAGTCCGAAACACGGCGAGCAAGCCAGAGCCTTTAGCTTCGTTAATAATGCACCTAACAGTACTCACTGATGTTTTTGTTGCTTCCGAAGTCTGTTTTAATTTTTCCATATCATTCTTCCCCTGTTTTATAATGAAGCAATATACGTCGTACACAAATTTTCTACCCTTTCTTTTAAGTACTACACCAGTTTGTCACGGCATAGTGTATGTTTTATAAAAAATCAACAAACACTCAACAAATAGCAATGGCAACAAAGTCCACAAGCAATTATAACAAATAACTTAACGATTAATAACGATAGACTTTCCACTGTACACAAGCGTACTTTTGGGAGCAAGCGGAATGAGGGCGCGGTGCGGGACGCAAGGTTCGACTGATCTACCAATAACGCGCTCGATACGATTTCCCCTGCCGTCGCGCCTCACCCTCACCACCAAAGTGACCTAAAATTCGGTTCTGCGCAGTCAAGGTCATTTGCTCAAGAAGTTTGCCGATTACTATAATAATTGTTAGAATTGAAAAGAAGACGGGTGTCCGGCGGCCGGCCATTTTAGATTTAGTACAGGTAATTCTAATTTGGAGCCGGATGACCGTGCGTGACTTGTTCACTTATTTATTATTTTCCGCTGATATTTTTATACGAGCCCTTAGATTAACACATTTCTGTTTAATTGCGTAGATTTAGGATGAATATTATTAATCAAACATTTTTCACGCGGCGAAAACCTAAGTCATATATTTTAAATCCTGCTCGCCGAAGAACTTACATTTGCATTTTGAAATCTGATTGATACATTAGTGTCATCATGTCCGATCTGTGTGCAGATAAAGGATTTGTTACGGTCCCTCCCACACCGGCGTACACCGTCTGCCGCACTGCATTCATAGGCTACACAAGTAAATAACATTTATAAGTCCTTGCAAACATAGTTCCACTTGCCTATTGGTTGGTGCTTATTAGTGTTTGTACTTATAGTTCATATATTTAGTATTAATGTTGGCAGCTGAAAAGGCATAAAACGATAGCAAGAATAATAATTAAATATGATGGTACCCAAAACTGTACAAATGGGTTAAAATGATTGAGGAGGATGCGTGTTCGGAACTGTTGGAAGGAACGTCGTCGAATGTCGATATGCGACGGTGCCGGCGGTATCAGAGCACGCGTCCTCTGCCGCGAGATGCCTTTTATGATCGGTCTAGTGTAGTCTAATGCATAGGTACTATAAAGTAGTGCCATATTAAAGAGCTTCCTGTCTATTTTTAATACATCTTTTATTTGCGTCTGAGCGCCCGAGTGAGCACCGCACCGGTCGGACCGGTTTCCTTCCCACTACCTTCACGTGCTCCGTGCAACTATAAATATGTACTTGATAATATAATTTACTGCAGCTTTAGTTTTCTATATAACAAACAGGTTTATAGAATATTAATTATTTTTATTCATTTATTACAAAATAACATTATTTAGACATCTGTAACTTAAATAAACATATTTAATATGGTAGAAATCGGATCTTAAAAATAAATTTATTTGAGAGCTAAGCCTCGACTAGATCTTTGCACACACAGTCGTTAGTCGCCTACGAGTTCCGCTTTAGCCTCTAAAATGGAATGTCCAATGTCGAATGCTGTTTTCACAACATCCATAGTTTCGGCAGGTGGTGCAGCATTTATAAGCTCATTTACAACACTGTCATTGTTATAGGTATATTAAATCTAATGTTGTAATTATTATTTGTACTCCTCTTCAGATTAACCTTATGGCAATTATATTCAGCCTTCAGAATGATAGACTACTAGATGCATCGACATAGTGAACAAAAAAGGCTGCTTGCCCTTGCTTGATTTAGATAACACCTATACAGTTGATAGTGATGTTTATGAAAACAAAAGAGATAACGATTGGTCAAAGTGATCTTGGAAATAGCGATCGCCTAAAATGAAACAAACTTATAGAGTTCGTGGAACCGCGAATGTTAGTTCACATTATGATACTAGTCTGGTCTCTTGACAATTTAACAGACGTTGTAACAGTATTGTAAAGCCCAAAACCAATTAAGACAGCGCAAATCGAGAGTCGACATAAAGAAAGCTATAGGTCCCACTAAGGACAGTTCACACAGATCGACAACAGTTCGGTTAGAAAACAATCGTGTTTGACTATTTACATCTTTTATTAGTTACTCTCGACAAATCGTTCTGACGGACGCACTAGTGTATTGTTCATAATACGTTATAACTGCCCACATGTACGTCACGCCCAGAGATTATTATGGCGAGCGCCTCAATAATTTATCTTATTATATCATATTTGGCCTGAAGGCAATCAACTCTCCCACACATTGTCGGCAAACTAGAATAAATGTGATTTAACGGCATAAAACAGTGCCCAGTGGAGCGTATATCTCCGGATAGGGGGTAGGGGTATGAAACAGTAAGACAACATTCTTACTTTTTTAGAACGGTAAAAGTTAATTAATATTGTCTAATGAAGGCGCGTGTGTTCTGTTTGGACGAGCACGAGCCGGCGCGGGCGACTTCGCGCACTGTACGCGAGTACTACAGCAGCCATGACATCCCGCACCATGTATAAAATCACCTATGTCACCAAGAGGCAACAGGTACACTATTTTCTTATCAACACTTACTTTATTAGACTTGGGCCGCCCCTGCTTAGACAAGTATAACATCTTGTGTGCTTTTGGTTATGAGAGTGTCCCTAATTGATTGAACAAGAGGGAACAGTATGGTGTTATTTGTTTTACTAGTACATTTTCCTTCATAGTCATCAGCATTTAATGAATACACCATAGCACCTCGTAGTCTATTGTCTTTTATATATTTTGCCTTCTCCATGACACTGTGAGCTGAGTCAAATGAGGTCCATTCTTTCTGTTTATATAAGTAAGGCACTTTTGCGTGATCATCAAATATCACTCTAACATTACTGTTGGCTACAAATAAGCAAACATCTGGGTAATTAACAAAGCCTAGTGAACCTAGAGATCCGTAGCCTGAAGCTGGACTGCCAATATTTGGGTTGTCTGCATTCACTAGAGTAAATGAATGTCCATATGTTGGTATTCCAACAACTATCTTATCTCGATCCAATCCTTTATTTAAATACATGTTGACTGTGTAATTAACATTAAGTGTGCCCATGTACAAACTTTCCGAGGGTCTTGAGAATAATGGGGAGTTGAAGCCAGTGAATGGAGTGTATTTAGTATAATAGTGGTAGTCATATGTCATGATGTTAACATAGTCTACATAATTATTAATCTGCTGCACATCGTAGGAAACATCAACTATTGCCTCTGGAGCAGCAACAGCTACAGTCAGCAGGTAATCTCGCTTTTCCCTCAAATATTCCATTCTGATTTCACGCAGTAACTGGGAGAAGTGTTGCCTCTCGCGACTTCCTTTCATTTTATAAAGCTTGTGCACTTCTGGAAACTCCCAGTCTAAATCTATTCCATCTAATTTGTAATTTCTTAGAATAGTTTTGATTGATTTGATAAAAATTTTCCTAGAAGCATGATTGGCAACCATGTCTCTAAAACCAGAAGCTTCTCCAGCACCTCCCACTGAAATCAATACTTTAAGGGCAGGATTTTCCTGTTTGAGTTTGCACAATTCAGTTATAGTTTGGTATTGATATTCATCTAGATGTATCTTTTTGTCGATGACTCTTGCAAATGCAACATTGATGTGTGTGCACAGGTGAGGGTCAATACTGGCTGGCAATAGTTGTTTGCCATCATTATCAGGTGTGTTGTAATAACAAGACACTACTGTATTACTTTTGATGTCTGATGTAACTGGGATGAAGAACACATTATCCTGACTTTTGGAATGCAGCTGACCACTATATACCAGAGTTAGCATCGACATGTATACAGCAGTTCCAAGGACTATGAAAAGGCTCGCTTTCGTCAGAATTCCATCGTAATCTAAACGCATCGCTATATTCGTCTTGTTGCAACTAATAAATTGTAAATTCTATTTAGATGTTATCAGCTGTTCATAGTACATTGGATATGTTACACTCACAATAATTAACAGTATCTAATATTGTATTGATGAGATCATAGGATCATAGGTTTGTCATTTTCAATTTTGTTTTCGGAATGTCAATACACAATATAGTAGCAATATGGTAGGTACCTACCCATAGATTATACACAAATATATTTTACCTACCTACCTACCTACCAAATTACCTGCATTCTTTGATTCTATGACTTTTGACAGCACTCACTTTTTGTTGAGCTATTCTACTTCAATACGCAAAAGAACCAAGCCTGAAAATCTTAAATTGTTTTTGCATTTGTTAATGGAAGGAGTGTCCTTTTGGCGAAAAATGAAATGAAATAGTGAAAATTTTCTAGATTTCATTAGTATTATCTGAGAAACCAATTCCATCAACTTTGTTCAATTTCTCTACGATTGTATTCATTTTAAAACACTAATGCTTAAAAAAGGAGGACCTTAAGTAACTCGTTTAAGGTGTTTTATTTTGTGTAACTAATGGTTTAAATGTCTCATAATAGTGGTTTATATCGTCTGTGGAAAAATAAAACAAAAGTCTCTGGTAGCTATGGTATTGTCTTATTTCACTTCATTACTACATTCAATCAATTTAATTTCACAACTCCTTATCACTTTTCAAATAAGGACATGACTTCGGCTTTGGTTTCAAAAAATTTGGCACTATAAGGTAGTTTCTTATGCCCATCCAAATAAATAAATAAAATTGAAAAAATTGCAGACAGAAAACAATTTCATGACAACTGACAATCAGATTAGGATGTGTGATATGAGTTTCTAGATGAATTAATAAGAATGTGAACAAACAAATAATAACATAAAACAATTCCACTATGTAATACAACAAATTGAGTTGAGAGTTGAGAGTTGAGACTTATAATACCTTCTCTTTCTTTACAACGGAACGTCAACCATGGAAGAATCTACGATGAACCATTACGAGAAACAGCTGTACACGGTGTTCAAAACATTCGACGTAGATAATAAGGAAGCTCTTGACAAAAATTCCGTTCACGCCCTCTGTGACTCCTTACAGCTCGATGGTCGTGGCGTTCAACTCGTCGAGACGCTCTTCGGTCGGCCCTCCGACAGAGTCACCTTCACGCAGTTCCGTAACGGGCTCCTTTCCGTACTCGACACCGACAGATCTGATCCTTCGGTTGAGCCATCAACTTCAGACGACGCCGACTTAGAACTGGCTCCAAGGTACGTTTTCGGTTCCAAAAAATATGGTCGCCGTTCTCGTCCACCTCGTCCTCTTGAGACTACCTCGACCCCTCGGGCGTCCTCTGCTTCCCGTCTTGATAGCGACCACCGTCGTGCCCGCCATCGTCCTGTATGTAGGCGTAGCTCTTCGGCTATGGAATCACGGGACTTTGAGTCTGATGATGACTACAAACCTTCAGCAGAACTTGATCCTGGTCGTCAGATCGATCGCTCCGAAGCTTTAGCACTGTGTCAAGGTTTGAATATGGAAGGAGTTGACCGTCTCATTGAACACATTTTTACTCAAAGTACTGGTACTGAAATGACTGTCGCAGAATTTTTTAGAAGACTGGATTCAGAACTTGCCACAACAATTCGAGAAGTACGAGAACGTAGTAATACCAATCCCAGAACTGGATCCTCTGAAAGCATTGAGGAGACTAGACTATCAGCTGACAATATTATTGAGGCGTGGGAGAATGCAGGGGTGCCGCGTCCACGAGCCCTGCTTGCTGAGTTAGGATTTAAGGAAAATGCAGTGAACTCAGTTGGCTTGGAAAACATTCTTGATGAAGAACTGCGCACACTGAGCAGTCCTGTTGATGAAAGATCACTACTACTCAATGCAGCTCTTGCAATCGCACGACTACAGGCTAAACTATTACGTGAGCGTGCCGACGCAACTGCTGCTGAACGTGACAAACTACGAGCAGATGTGGCTGATGCTAATGCGAGAGCTCGCCTTCTTGCTCAAGAAATTGATGAAAACCATGCTCGACTTGAAGCTGAATTAAAGTCTAATTTAAAACGGGCAGAAGCACGTCATGCTGAAGCAGTGCGTGGAGCGTCAGCCGAAGCTGCTGCAGAGAGAGAGCGCACTGCTGTCTTATCATCGCGATTGCAAGAAGAGATTAAGCGACGCATCGAAGCTGAAACACGATTAAAAGTAGAATCAGAAGAATTGAAATCGCGGCTTGAGGACACAGAAGTGCGACTTCATAGATCTGAAGAACGTGTTGCGGAAGTCGAGCGCGAGAGAACTCGTCTCGAAGCTGAGGTACTCGTAGCAGATAGGGCAAGTGCAGGGCGAAGCCCTCTGTCCGCAGAGCAGGGATCAGCTGGCGAAATCGAGACGCACATAGAACGACTACAGCTCGAGAACCTACGGTTGCGCGACCGCATCGACGAACTGTGTGCAGCATTGGAGGTACAGGGTCGCGAGACAGTATCCACTGTCGTCACGGGGGTCGATGATCTCTCTGCTGAGCTGGGTTCACTGTTATATCCGAATCGTGCTGAGGTGATCATAGTTTTGTATACCATTATTCACATTTCATTATACTAGCACAGCTATAGGCACATAGCACAATATTAACAAATTGCTTATACATAATTGGTTCTGAAGTATTTTAACTACTATTTACTTCTTCTCAGAATTCAAAATGCATTTCCAGGAATGTGATTCTTCACCAACAAGCTTGGATCAAAAAGTGCTCAGTCATGTCGAAGCAGTTGTTAAATTACGTGATCTGCTGGATAGCTTGCGAAAGTTGTCGGCGAGCCAGAGCACTTGTGAAGTTTGTTCAAACATTCTGGATACTATAGAAACCCTGAAAGAGAAGATCCAGGAGTTAACAGAGGCTGTGGTTATGGCAGGGCCGGAGCGATCAAATACTTGTGAAGGCAGTACTCAAACAGAACAAGAGGAAGACTCTGTTCAGCTGACGATGGAACTGGCTGATACTCTGCAGCAACATGAGGAGGAGAGAAACAGACTTGAAGCTCTAGTCAAGTAACTTGGATTTGGTTAAATAATTGTAACATGTTCAATAATCTGTCTCAACACTGTCAACATGTTCACTGTTGACTGCCTCGAGCCATCTGTCGACACTGTCCACTGTGAGGTAGAATTATTACAGTGTCTATTACATCAGGTGAATTGTTACCCTACCTTTTAAATAGAACGAGTAAATGTTATTTGTTCCAAATAATTAACAGAACTTCTAGATAGAAAGTGGAAATTTAATATTAAAAATATCGAAAAACTGACCAATACCAAAATTGCATAAAATTTGGTTTACTAAGTAAAAGCTTGAATTTGAATTGAAGTACTGTATCAATTTCAGAGATTTAGAAAGTAGCCTGGAGCAGATGAAAGCCGAGTACGACAAGTGCGAGGAGTACTGGGCCGGCAAGGTGGAGGAGGAGCGGCGGCTGCACGGCGACGAGCAGCGCGCGGCCGACCAGCGCCTCGCGGACCTGGCGGCCAGGGTCCACGACTACGAGCGGCAGTTCGCGCTGCCGCCCATCGACGAGCGACCCAAGCTCGAGGCGCAGGTCAACGACCTGCAGGTACTCACGCATCATCACGACCGATCTAGATCCGAACCGATACTCGTCGAAAGCTGAATACAGAAAGTAAATAACGATATTTAATTTGAACATCGATTGTCGAAGTTCCACAATAGTATTTTGGCATAATGAAACGCAAACGAGACCGTTTCATTGAAGCACTGAGGTCCTTCGTCCACTTATGGTCCAGAACACACGCAGGTATTGCAATACCTACAGCAACCCAAGGGCTCCTTCAGCAAGTCACAGGACAGGACCACTGTCAACTCAGAGTTACGAGTGCACTAATGTAATGAGTGTTCACACCGGGTGGCTCTCCATTAACGGTGCTTTTAGGCACCACAAGCACCGGTCACCGTCCTCGTCGAACCCTGTGGTTAATGTCTAAACTTCTGTGGTTAATGAATATTGAAAAAACAAATTTCTGTTCCCTAATCGATCGCCCCTCGCAGGAGGAGTTCGCGCGCTACCGCCGCGACAAGGAGGCCGAGCTGGCGCGGCTGCGGGGCGAGGGCGCGGGGGCGGGGGGCGGGACGGGCG